AAAAGTACGTTTTTTTGGGAGTTATCAAAAAAAGGCTTAAAATTTCTGTTAACCGTCTGTCCCTCAGAGCTTTCATTGCATTTCAAGCGGTCAACTCAAAATCGAAATCAAAATTTACGTTTTAAAATATTTTGAATAAATGATAGAAAGATGAATAAAATGTTTTTTTTTCGAACCAATAAAGGGGGGTTGCAGTAAAGTCGCGCTATGGACAAGAAAATATACTGTACTTTTGATCTTAATTTTTTGCTTTTTTTTTCTTTTTTTAGTCCCTTGATTTTTCTCTACGCTTTTCTGTTTGAATCATGATTTCGTAAAATTGACAGCTGCGACGAATGCAGAAAATTTTGGATGAAAATTCAAGAAGAAGCTTCATGAAGATGTAAAGGTTTATTCGAACAAATGTGCCGAATATTCGGAATTTCTTCAGCATATAGTTGTATTTATCATGCCATCGAATGTTTTTCCGAGAAATCTATTTAATTCATGGAGCTGATTTGATGTTGATGCTATGGAAACTCGAGGATGGTTAGTTCTTTTTTTAAATTTTACTCTTTTCGCGTTCATATTTTTTTTTGCATAAAAGCTTCTTGGGATAAAGTTTTCCATAAAAAAGAAAAAACAGCCCTCGATTTGAAATCTTTGGTTACAGGGCGTTCTGAAAAAAAAAAATTGAAAGACTGATTTTATGGGGCTAAAAATAGGAACCGGTTCCGCTGTTGTTTGTTAGTTGAAAGAACAATTGCAACCACCGTAACCAATTTTTTTTCCCAAATTTTCCGATTGATGGATTAACTATACGTTTCGATAGGCGGAACGCCCACTAATCGTATCCGATTATTTTTTGTTTTGCACAAGAATTTCCACTTTGGATGATTTAACTCTGTAAGCTGAGCTTTTCTCAGAAGATTTGTTGTTGTTTTTCTGGACCAACTCATCCAAGAAGAGAAAGAAAGACGAGATTTATTTTGTTGCCCAGAAATTTGCGTTGTCCTCGGATTTGTGTCAAAGCCAGAAACTCCCCAGAGTCACTTCGCTAACACTAACAAATCTATTCACTCACAAATTCACCCTCTGCACTACCAATTTTCTCAAGTCTCTTGAGAATTCTGGTTTGGAGGGACCTCTAGGTGTCGAAATTCTTCTGTTTTTTGATCAGAGAGAATGACTCATCTTATAATTGGATTTATAATAAGACTCAGCTCACTAGGTAGAATTTTGCGTGCTGAATTTGAATATAAAGTCAAGTTCATAAGTTTTGAGACCTTTTCGATTTTTCAATATCACTCTCACTGATTGAGCTTTTAGATGGAAAAAAGCGCTTGATTTTACTCATATCAGGTGGCTCAAAAAATAATACTTTTTGAAAGATAAAAGGCTATCTACCATTCAAAAATGAGCTTACATGAGGAAGTGCGTTTGTTTCGCAAATTTTAGAATTTTAAAGGGTACAGCTTTTTCATAGAATCCCCCGGATCACTTTGATTTCGGAGGAAGGTGAAAGTATCTGTGGAACATAAATTGATCCAGAACTTCGAAATGTTTAGGTTGTGATCTGAGATAAGAGTTCAGTCTCTAAGAAACTAGGGAAAAGTCCATCTTCTAGTTGTTTTTTTTTTTCCGCCAAAGTTGAAACCCACCTTTAACGTCGTCGAAGAATCCGGCGTTGGCGGAGGCAACGAGGGCGACGAGCAAAAGTCCACGTACAAACATATTAGATTCTGAATTACAAGATGGTGAGAAAAGTTCTGGACACAAACGCTCAAAAATAAAGCGGTGACAGTTAAAATTTTTCGAGCTAGTTGGATGAAAATTGAGCTCGAATTGGAAGCTTCGGAGATCGTTTTGAATAATTTTATGATGAATTTTTTCACGGAGCTATAGTTTCTTGGATAAATGGATACATTTCATAACATTTTTACAATAGTCTCGAAAAAAAATCCAGTGTAATGCCCCAGTTTCCTGATGTACAGAAGTCAGCAGACACAATAAATACAAAGTTAGTTTTTGAACTGGCGAGACCGATTATCATCGCCCATCACTATCAAACGAAGATTGATGACAGTTCATAAGGAACTGCGTTCTTCAAGGTTCAGGGACCAAGAAAAAAAAAGAAGTAGGAAGAAATGGAAATGGAAATGGGCAGTGAGAGCGGTGGCGGAATCGAATGGCCGCGGTGCCACACAAACAACTCCGCCCCCTTCTCCGATGGGCGTGGCGATCGGCGGTGTTCGAGAACGGAAAGGAAAGGAGAAGAATAGTTCAGAATAGATTTGCAAATTTTAGGTATCATAGTTCTGAATTTTTTTCGGATCTCAAGGCACGGCTGTAGAGTTTCTGACGGCCAATCTTCTTGACACTTTGTAATTTTAAAACGAAGATTCTATATCTAGTCCTCATACATCTATATTATTTGACAACGGACGTGTCGTGGAATTTCTAGTGGCCACTTTAGTAGCGTCAGCAATCTTAAGTGATCCCGAGGACTGCCCGGAAACGTCCGGAGCGTTATCGAGGTCTCAGTAAAAATATGTTGCTTCAGATCCCAAGATTCAGCAAATTCTCAAGTTTTCGATTTCAGAACCAGTTCAGGCTGGATTCAGAACTATATGCATCAAAGCTCTAAAAACTTTTCAAGGATCATTAAGTGATCACTAGAGTGGTGTCGGAGCTCTGTAGATGTGTCTGAAAGCTTTAGGAGACGACCTAAAACGTTTTCCATTTTTTTTTCAAAGCCATTTCACCTCTTTTCTACATTTAGAGTGCTCTCTAGCTTCTATGAAACCTTTCTGACGAAGATGACTTCGAATAAAACAACATTTCGCAAAAAGGTTCACAACGGAAATGTATTTTTAACTATCTTTTCTCGAAATGTGGGGATTATGGTATCCTTATGGTCATTAGTTATTGAACTTCATTCATTATGTTACTTATGCAATTTTGAGAAATGTTGGGTCATGTTCTCGAATTGATAATGATTTTCATAGTGAAATAATACGTCGTGTTCGATTTGTTTATAAAAAAAAAATCAATTTTTTCAATTTTGCGGCAGTTTTTCTATATTGGATCACCGCATATGGAATTTATTTCAGGAAGATGATAGTTCTTGCACCAACAGTTTACTTTCTTTCGTCTGAAGTTTCTCGGAACGTCTAAAATCGATGCCTAGACCCCCACACACTTTTGCTGGTTTTTTATGATTTTCAATAAGCTGGCAATTCGTTATTTGTTCCGTTCATGACTTCTCCCTGACAATTTATGAGTAGTAGATTCCAACGCACATAGTTACTATAGTGACTACTTGCACTTTTTTCTTCAATTCCACTGCTCGTTCAAACTTTATAAAGAGATAGCCGTAAATGTAGTGTAATAGTTTCAAAAATAAAACCTCGTAACCAAAGATGGTATAAAAGTGAACAGAACGACGTGTTCTTCAACCACAACATCGAGTGTTTTGAAAACATAGGACAAAGAGTTTTCGAAAGGACTATACCTTTACTATACTAGTTTTTTGACGTCGAGTAAAGTGTTCTTCAGTTTGAATGTAGTATATCTTTTATTAATTTTTACAGACATCAAAAAATACAGGAAATCAAGGAAACACCAACAAAACAATCGCCATGAGCAATCATTTCATGGTGGAAGGGATTTTGCGTGTTTACATGTTGACGAATTTGATCGCCGATCGTTTCACAACTCCCCGTAGAAGGGATTAAGTCAATCGCGGATGCAAAAAAAGAGAGTTTCACTTTTTGTTGAAAACTGTCGAACGGATGACAATGAAATTTTGAAGTTGCGCCGTTTTTGATGCTCTGGTCGCACGTGGAATGGCTCAAGACTTTTAAACAGTCTGTTCTTCAAAATGGCGAGTATTTTGAGGGTGGGGAACGTTCTGATTCAACCGCATCGCGACCGCTACGTGTTGAGCTATTCCAAATGCGACCAAGGAAGAATCGGGTATCATGCTTTATAAGAAGGGCTCGGACTTCTGAGAAAAATTAGCCTCGGAAATTGAGCAGCAAAAGAGGAAGTGCGCTCAAAGGCTAATTTTTTTTTTCAATTTTTTGCTTGATTAGGCGCAGGGCTTCATATAAATAGGCATTTCTCATCTAATTGGAAATCGAACTTCCGATTTTTTCATGAATTCTAGAGCTTACTGAGAGGCTCGAAATTATCCGTTGAGAGCACTTTAACGATTTTTTTTTGGCGGCTATTTTACCCCGATACTTCTCATTACGCAATGCTATTTTATAAGCGAAGAAGAAAATTATAATGAGGGTTCGATTTAACCGCTCAGCGAGAGCTGTTTGAAAGGCATCTTGGAGGTTGACCGAGGTGGAGGCGTTCTGAAATCGTCTTGAAATTTTGAAAATCTAGGATTTCACAAAACTCAAGCTATCATTCAAGAATAACAGAACAGAAATAGAATGAAATAAGGAAATTTATTGGAAAAAAATCTGGAAAAAGGTGAAAATTTATGGTAACGGACAACAAATCGGAAGAGACACGAGGGAAGTGAGGTGGGCCGTTTGAAATTCTCCAAATTCTAGGGGAAGATTTTTTTTTTTCTTGCAATCAACACAGGGCTTATAGATTGTATACTTAACAGAAGATAAGGATTGAGGGATGTTCGATGTATAACTTAGGAGGGTAGATAAGACGGATAATGGGGCGAAAAACAGAGGATTTTCTGTCGGAATCGCTTGGCCGGGCGGATTTTCACTCGGAAGTCCGTCTTGAACGATTATCGCCTCTTTTGCTGAACGACGAAAACTTGCGTCTGCAAAGACAGGTTAATCAGGGGGAGGATTCCATGTTAGGTAGAGTAGAAGTGCAGGTAGAAGGTTGCAACTCACGTGAAAATTCTGGTTACTTTTTGATCTTGTGGTTTGTAATCAATGACAGTAATAGTAACAAAAGACGTCTTAAATAATTCGACAAGGGAGATCATTTTATTCGCAACTTCAAGAGCTTTAAAACCTGGCCAAAAATTTCTCTACTTGCCAGAAAAACGTTCTGAACCTCTCATCTATCACAATTTCTTACGTTTCGGGGAAAAAAAATCCAGAGTTTACTGTTTTTCAGCATAAACTATTGAGCTTGCTTTCACAAAAAGTTTGAAGATGAATTCAGATTGAGATTTTCAGATTCTTCATTGTTGAATATGTGAATTGATAGTGATCAAATAATAGATCACGTGAGAGATATCCCAACTAAGAGTATAAAAGAAGTCGGGAACTCAGACCATCATCACTCGTACCCGTTTCAGACCATCATCACTCGCCCCCGTTTCGCCTCCAGCCTCGCCGTCGCTTCAAGCCTCGGACTGACGACTTCTCGCCTCTCCTCAACTTCATCTTTTTACCACACCTAGTTAATAAAACTATTGTGGGGTACTCTTCTTTCTGATAACGCACAACGCACAAGATACATTAAAGTTTTTTTTTTTTACCCCACAATAGTTTTATTAACTAGGTGTGGTAAAAAGATGAAGTTGAGGAGAGGCGAGAAGTCGTCAGTCCGAGGCTTGAAGCGACGGCGAGGCTGGAGGCGAAACGGGGGCGGTACGAGTGATGATGATCTGAGTTCCCGACTTCTTTTATACTCTTAGTTGGGATATCTCTCACGTGATCTATTATTTGATCACTATCAATTCACATATTCAACACTCATCTCGTTCAAGAACAGTTTTTCTGGACAAGTTTCAGAAAATGTTCACTTTCTCAGTAAAATGACCCCCTTGTTAGCAAATTTGCGAGTTGTTGAACCTCGGGAAGTCACACGGTAACTAAGAAAAAAAAATTCTATCATTCCGAATCTCTAAAAAAAGGGAAAATGTTAGTTCGATGCTCGACATTCGCCTAATTCTCTACAGATCTCTTCTAAAAACTTACCTTTTTGAGAAAAAACTTTCAATTTTTGAGAGAATGTACACTGTTAGTTCGTCCCCTATAAATATGTATCAGTGGATCGAATCTAACAATTTTCTGATGAAATTGATGAAACTTAAATCAGATGTTTCATCAGCATTATAATAAACAAAAAAATATAAGTTGTTATATTTATTTTCGAATAAAACGGCAAAGAAATGAAGTTTTAAAGAGACGCCAGAGAAAGACGATTTTTCTAATTATCTAGTGTCTCTTCAGCCGCCGCTGCTCTCTCGCCTTTTTTCCGTGGATAGATTGAATTTCCCATTCAAAAAGACTACAGACAGAACTGAATCTTTTTCGAAAAAAATTAAATGAAAAAAAATTTGAGTTCACATTCAAGGGTGGTAGAAACCAATAGGGAAGCATTCCACTACTTTCATTTTATATTTTTACAAAATTTGAAGCTTGCTCCAATGATAAATGTCTCTGATTGGCTCATCAGGCCTCGGAACTCGTAAAAAAAAGCTTTCTCGGACGTCGGTAACACAAAATGTACGTTTCTCAGTTTTTCTAGTAATCCTTTAAGAGTTCTGAAGCCGCTAAAGGTATCACTAGAAATTCTAAAAAACTTCCGGAGCGCTTCTGTTTTCAAAATCTGAGATCCCAGCCAATCAGAGATGTTTCTCGGTGGAGCTAACTTGCGAAACCTCGAAAATAGCTGACATCCTCAAACTCACTGTATTTTCCGGCGATCCAACTCGGTGGCTTTCGGCGAATCGAAAAGCGCCTTGAGCCTTTTCACGGGCAGCTGTTTCTCTGCGTGCATCCCGTCCACCTGTATAAATATCCTTTCTTTTTCTCGAATTCCAAAATGTTCATCTCAAAATTTCCAATCGAAAGATCAAAGAACACTTGGTCATCCGAAGGAAACGAGGGGAAAAAGCCGAATCTGCAAATGTAATCCGAGCCGCGTCCTCAGATTTGATTTGAGGCCGACTTTTTTTTTCTCTTTTTCCATAAAATGCCTCCTTTTAGGAGTTGAGATGGCTTTCTTGGGGCATGGAAATTGGTAACTGACGGGATCCCAATGCAGAGATTCGACGGAGCCTTCGTCTTCCACTTCTTCTGGATCGTCTTCTTGAACTTCATCCTCGTCGACTTCCTAAATTAAAAATTAGATTTTTAAAAAAAACAGCTTTTTCTAACACAAAATCTTCACACACCTTTGGAAAATTTAGACTTTCTTATTTTCAAATCAAGGAGCTCTAGGAATCGTACTCAACTTCAACTTTTATGAATACCAAGCTCAAAACGCAACTCCATTATTCCACAATCGCCTACAATTAAGCGAAATGAAGCCGTGGCAGAATTAATTCAGCGCCTAGAGGAGATCAAAATGCAAAGATGTCGGGACAAATGACGGATGGAAGCGATTCGACACGCATAAATCGACTCTGCCATGGCAGATGTCCCGTTTCGAGCAAATGAGCCGCGGTCCTTTTTGATGGTCCATGAAAACTGAGCTCAGAAAATACAGATTGAAAGATTTGAAGGGGCCGAGTATTTCACAATCTATCGTTTAGGTTTAAATATTGGTCTATTTCAGTTTCATCAAATGTGTCTTTCTAATTTTCGATAAATCTGAAAGGCGGTATGGAAGATGTACAGATAATCTTCACAAAATCGCTTTCTCTTATTTGCAAAGTCTTTGAAAAATTAAAAAAAGGTCTGACTGTTAAAAAAAACTTAAAAAGAACTTTTTGAAAAATACCCCCTTCTTGCTATAGGAAATAGGTTTTTTTAAGCGAGAGAACTTTTTTTAATCGCCTCATTTTTCACAGAATCAAAATTTTCTTCCCTGACGCTCAACATTTTCTTGATGAAACTCATAAATCACATTTTAAAAAGAGTCTTTTTTAAATATATCATGTCTTCGACACAAGTTTTTCATAGCTCTTTAATTTCTTCCATTTTCTCTCCAATAATTTCCTCATCCAACTAACCCGCCACTCGCTCATTGCCGGATGTTCAAGACTGCTTCTGGTGGTCTTTGATTTGCCGGCGAAAGCTCTCCTCAGCCTTTTCTTCGCCGAGGACATTTTCGAGGGCGACTTTCGGTATTCTTCCTGCAGATAATTTATAGATGGGGAGATTTTCCTTGAACACAAGAACCATGTCCTCTGTTTGTATGCATTTCTGCTCGATGACCGGCGACGGCGTCTGGATTCTGATGCTCTTCATCTCGACTTCCGTCGAAGCTTCTGCGTCGACGCATTCGGCGATGTAGGTCTGGAGCTCTTGCTCACGCGTCTGGATGTGCTCCGTTTGGCTTTCTGACTCCTAAATTGCGGGATACAATCTTCAAGGGAGCTTAACTGATATAATTCGCAAGCAGATTTGAATGGCTTTGGAAATAGTTGGGCTCAATGATCTAATAAGATAGGTCATTTCACAGTACAAATTTTAAAGAAAGCCAGGATACTCCCTGATGTACAAGGTAAAAATCTTGTACAACTTGTAAGTTTTCAAAAAAAGCAAGTTCATCTTTAAGAATGAGAAGAAAAAAGCAGAATATTCAAGTTGAATCAAGGTTCTAAAAAAGCTTGTGCGACTATACGTCGTGGTGTATGCGTCGAACCTACTGTTCCTCGCTCTTAAATGCTACAGGAGCCGTTTTGGACTTTTTTTTTAATTTTAAGAAAGAAAAGTTTTTTCTCTTGAAATAGGTTATTGTGACGAATTTTGAAGGTTTTTTTCTTTCTTTTTGGACATTATTTTCTGGACATTTTTACAGATTGAGACGTCCAGGACGTCAATTTGATATATCAAATATTGCTCCTGTCAATTTTCAGAATAAGAAAATATTTCGACAGGCTCGATAGTTCCAAGTCATGGAAAATGAGGTATACATTTTTTTTCATTTTCATTATCACCCCAAAAATCGTATTTCTGTTCATTGAAAGTCAATTATCTGGCTTCCACTCTGCTCAAATGTTGTGACAAAAGAAAAAGAAGTATAATTAAACAGCAACTTTCAGCATCCGTAATTAGATTCGCATCTCATTTTTTCCATTTAGCGTCAACAAAATTTCATGGATTACTGACTTCAATCGAATTATTAAGGTTCAAAGATCATTTTGGTCGAGTTTGAGGCAGTTAATGTGCACATGTTGATGAGCTGGGATTGGATAAGCTAGAACGATATTCTAAACAAAATCTAAAAAAGTTGAATTATTTTTCTTGCTCAAAAATTCTGAGGCCGTGTTTAAAATGATTTCGCGAAATCCCGAATAGCCGTCAGAGACTTTTAGAGAAACAGAGATAGTTTTGCATTTCGCGGAATTTTTTTAACACAGCATCAAGAATTCAATTAAAAAAATCATGAATGCTCAAAAAGTCTCTGAAATTTTTTCTTTTTCTACTCACAAGAACAGGAGCGGAGACGGTGGCGACCTGCGCATCGGCACTTTCCACGTAGATCGTCTGCGTCTCCACGACATTCTGTTGGATTGTTTCCGTCTGCGTCTCGACGGCTTTCAGTTGCTGCAATTTTAGAGATATAGTTCCAAGAGTAGCGCCAGATATAATCTTCTATCACTATTCGTCAAGACGCAACTGAATTTTTTAAGCGCAGAAGGGCGAGGCGAAGAACCGTAAGACCATGCTTTCAACTTGATCAACTACAGTTTTGGACTTCTTGATGCAGCTTGATCAACTACACGTTTGAACGTCCTAACTTAATTTGATCAACTACACTTTTAGACTTGTAGCTCTCCAAAGGCTCTTATTCAATATGGCTTAAAAGGTCCTTGTTCACCGCCTAGTCAACTGGTCCACACCAATGTTTTCCGTATTATTTTTTTTCTAAATTTCAATATCTACATCTTGAAAGAATCTTCGAGGTCTTGAGACGAAAATTTTCTAGATCACAAGACTTTTTTGAATTTCAAAACTCCAAAAAGTAGTTGTAAATCTAATGCATAGTGCGTTCTTCGCGACTTCTCTGCGCCCTCCTCGTCTCTCGACGACCCTCTCTTGTTGACGCGCTGTTTTCATGTCTCTCTGACCTCGCCGATGAGGGAACAGAAGGACGCAGACGCTCGAGACGCTAACTACATCTCTTTCAACGTGGAAAAACCATTTTGAAACTCCGGGAAAAAAAAAATTACATCGTCAGTAGCTTTCATTTCGACGCGATCCGTCTGAACGACACACTCGGTGTACTGCTTCTCGTCCGTCTGGTGCGATTTTTCCTCTCTGAATAAAATTTTCGAAGTTTTTGCTTGGAAAAGCGAAAAAACCTGACGACGACTTCTGTCTGAGTATCGGCGTCGTGGGCAGCAAAAAGGGCGGAACTATCCACGGCGGCTTCTTCGATTTGGATCTGAAAATTATTATTTTTTTCCTGACTAGGGAACTACTCGGACTCGGGTACGCGTTTCGAGTTGAAACATTGGTGGCTATTAGACCCGGGTAAGAGTACTCGAAAACAAGAGAGAATATCTGCTAAATCCCATAGGCTTCTGAGAGAAAGCTTTTTGAAAATGAACAGTTAAGGCTTGAAAATTGTAAAATTTTCGCTTTCCTCGTTCTTTTGACTGGAGAAAAGTTTTTTTGAGTTTATCATAGCCGGATCATTCAAGACGATTGTATTAAAATATAAAATAAGGTGAAAAGCAGTATTCTGAAAATTTTTAGGCCTAATTTTCACAGTTTCTACTAATTTTTTCTCAGTTTTCTATCGGGTTTAGCAGATATTCTCTCTTGTTTTCAAGTATTCTCACTTAGGTCTATAAACCCCTAAAGTTTGAACTCGATCGGCGTACCCGAGTCCGAGTAGTTCCCTAGTGAGTCCTTTGAAGATTTATCACTACACCTGTTTTCCTCAGAACTTTATGTTACACAAGAAAAGCAAGTAGAATAATCAAGCCTACCTGTTTTTGGACCATTTCCTCCAAGGCCTTGGGCGGTTCGGCTCCTTCCTTGTGCTCTTCTAACAGGAGGAGTTTTGGCATACCTAGACAATAGACCATGAATTTAGAGAGTTCCAGGAGCCATAAAACAAAGTTTTCGCGAAAGGAAACATTTTTAAAATCTTTTATAATGGAACTGTAGCCCATTCCGCGCCACCTTGTCACTTTTTTTCACTACGAGCTACATGTGCTCTCCTTAGAAAATGCAAAATGCAATTTCTATGCTTGCGCCTTTGATATAACGAACATCTCAAAGCTATTTTAAAGGCGCATGTGATAAATTAAAGGCGCACTGGCACGGAATGGACTATAATATTATCCCATTTTTCTTCAAGCATTTTCGAGTGACCCGAGTTCTGAATTCCCAGCAAGGCTCTTCGAAAATCTACGATCATTGACAAAAAAAACTTTCATTGAAAACGAAATTTTAGATATTCCTAGAAGATCTTTGAAAAAAATTATTTTTTTCCGCTCGAGTTTCTAATCAGCAGAGCTTTTTAGAATAAGACTCAACCCTCAAAAAAAGAAAGCTCTTTTTCAAAAATACAAGAAAATTCGGAAAATGGAGATTAGAACTCTGCATCGCTTATATTTGAGAGCATAAATCACATCGAAAACAATTTTATCTTTCAAAAGAATGTATTACAGTGAAGAGATTTAAAGTCCGAGATTTTTTTTCCTACGACTTTAATGAGACTTTCCCTACCAGTTTTCTCATCCAAATCAGTGAGGATGGCGGGAACTTCGATGCCTTCCTTCTTGGCCTCTTGCTCGACCTTCGCCATGGCTATCCGGCGCTTTTCCTTGCTGAAATTTAAGTTTCTACAGTTTCAAACTGGAGGTCCGACCTCATGAGGGGCATGAGGAGCTTGGCGGCCCGATTATTGCCCCACATGCGCATCATTCCGACGGAGGCGCCCATTTGATCTCCCCCAGCCGCCAACTTTTCCTGGTACTCCATGATCAGCTTCATCATCATTGAAACGTAGAATTCTTCAAGGGCCACCTGGAATGCAGAAATTTGGCTTCTCACTTTAATTGATTGGACTTAAATTGGTAAGTTTCAGGATATTTTTCCAACACTTCTAAATAGGTTCAGTTTTTTCAAGGGTATCAGGAAATCTATTAGACTTTCAATGAGTATTACTGGAAAAAAGAGACCCAAAGGATTTGGAAGCGAGAGAACAATGGCGACTGAAGAGACGCCAGAAATGTTTGATTATCTGATTCCCTGGCGTCTCTTCAGGTCATGTTGATCTCTACCTTTTTTTTATTATCAAGAAGACGAAATCGTACCTGTACAACATTGATACTCATGCTCACCAACGACAAGCCCACAATAACGAAAGCGAAGCAAAGAACCATCATGCTGAAGGGAATTTATTTACAATCTTTGTCGGGATGAAATCGGTTTTACGCAAAATTTTGGATGAAGCCAAGCCGAAAATGCTCAAAATAAATCAGAAAAACTTGTGTTGAAATAAAAAAAAAGTTTTCTCTAACTATTGACTGGCCTGCTTAAGCCTAAACTTTCCGAAAAACAGATAAGAATAATAATAATACTAAAGAGATAGAATGAGAAAAATACACAAGAAGTACATTTAAAATCGAAACGGAAAAAAAGAAAAATCCGAAGACGAACTCCCTCCGAGCGACAGAAATATCTCCAAGTCCTATCGTCGATAGAGAAATGAACATGAAGTAGAGACTCTCGCCGTAAGTCCAGTCCTCCCAGATTTTGAAAAGAGCCGAGCAGAAGAAAATCCAGCCGATCGTGATGCCGAGAGCGACCTGGAAAATAAGGATAGTTCTTTTTCTGCTTGCAAGCGAAACGTTTGAAATTATATCAAAGAAGCTTTTTAAAAGACCATTTTTGTGCCTTGTCTTTTTGGACTTTTCATAGGAAAGGCCCTTTTCAAGGAGACAAAAGCTCTTGGAGGAGAGATTCCTGATAATTTCCAGAAAAGAAGAGATGAAAAGTCGATTAAAATATCTTTTTTCATAGAAGATGAGATAGAGAAGCTATTACGAAAAAACTATTTTTCGCCTTTTCGTGGATTTTCATCGAAAAGGACCTTTCAAGGAGATAAAAAAAAAGTCGGAAAAGGTCAGAGTATACTTCAGAAAAAAGATGAATTAAAGCCGACCAGCAAACCCTTTTCTTGTAAAAGGTGAGTGAAAGAAATTCAAAAATTCGCTTGGGCAAGATTTCCCAATAATTTCTTGAAATCCAAAAAAAAAACTTGAATCTTTTACTTTTCAAAACAAACCTTGACACTCATTCTGGGCGCCATATTTTCCACATCTAGTTCAAGTTCCGATTCATTATGTAGACTTCCTGCTTCAGAAGCCAGAGATGAAACTTCAGGTTGAACAGCTTCTCCTGACTCCAGTGCCACTAACTGAAACTTTTCAACGATTACTTTGGCAGAATTTGATTATTCCTGTTCCTGGTTCTTTCAAACAAATCCGGATAAAAAGAATATAAACTTTTCTCCTCATAGAGTTCATAACAATAAACGACTAGAATGGTCCCCTATAGGGGCTACTAAAGCTTGCAAAATATAGGGGGAGGCAAATTGGTTTCTAGAGAAAAACCTTTTGAAACTGAAGTTTTCCTAAAGAAAAATGTCTACAAAAAACCTCATCAACTTTGCCGATTTCTCTCCTCCGTCCGCAAATCTTCATCACACCGAGGTAGGCGCCAAAATCTTCGAAACCCTGAAAGAAAAACTTTTAAGCCCACGAATGAAATAATGCTGAGACACTGTAGAGTATCCTTAATCTGGAGAAAGAGAAGAAAAATGTCACGGAATAGGTCATTATTTGACTCACGACACTTCAAAATACTCAAATGCCGCTATTTTCCATGACATTGCAAACTTTTTCTAAAGTCAGTATATTTTTAAAAATTTTAAATTCTGTGAATTCTGATCAAAAAGTTCACAGGGATCAAAAAAATTCTTTGTTAGAAAAAAATAATAACTATGAAAGGAACTCAAAGATCAAATTTCAGCCAAACAAATTTAGTATTTCAAATCCGGAAACCTTGACACATCCATTGATGTTGTTGTAGAGAAATTTGCCCAAGTCGTTCAAGGTGATGAGCATAAGAGGGATTCCAACGCAAGAATAAATGACGGTAAGGATTCGACCGGACGTCGTCAGACATGCAATGTCGCCGTATCCTAAAAAATTCGAGCAAGATCCTGAAGGTTTGGAAAAGTAATTGGGTTCCTTGAAGTTATTTTCTCATTGAAAAAGCGCTAATTGCTGTAGAAATAGTGAAAAGTAAATCTGAACAGGTCTTGAAGACTGAAAAAAAAATCACAATCTCTGAAAAAAAGATCGGAAAGGAATCCGGAGCGTCTTTTTCATGAAACTAGTGAAAAAATGTCAAATGTCCCCTAAAAAAATTACCGATTGTGGTGAAGAGAGTGCCGGCAAAGTACATGGCCGACATGAAAGACCACTGGGACTCGTCTTTCACCTATAAATTAAACATTCTCACTAAGATAATTCAAAAAAGCATTATAAAACGAACGGCGAACTGAAGCTGCGATTCATAGTGATTGACAGCTTCTTGGAAAGCATCTTTTCGGGCTCCGAACTTCCGGGGACCTGAGAGACTTTTGTCGCGAATCACTTCTTCCAGTCGCAAAAGAAGCCGTCGACGTTCCTGTCTGCAAACCGAGGATACAGATATATAATCCTGTAAATTCTGAAAACAGCGGAAACTGAGCCATACACGAAGTAAACCACAGAATATGGGGTATTCAAAAACAAAATGCCTTTTTTTCTTGTGTATGAAATAAATATTATTATATAAATATATTAAAAATTATAATGCTGTTTTCAATAATAATGATGTCTTGCAGTGAATTTTAGAGCTAAATGCGTCTGAACTTCCGATTTATATAAATTTGCCCCTTTTTTTATTTTTTTGCGCGTTAAGGCGCGTCGTGGCTGCAATTTTGCGTCGTTGTGTTGCAAAAGTAGGTTTTTAACTTAAAAAAGAGAACATTTCAGTGGGAATTTTCTACATTCTTTTTATTTTTTTCTTGGAAAGTTTGATTTTTAAGTTATTTTCATTCTTACATCCTTGATTTGTGATTTTTTGATGAATGAATGGCGGCTAAAGTAATCCATGAAAAACTGGCGATTTTTATTCATTACTCACTTATATTTAGCTGCTTCGCCGGCGGCCACGTCTTCTGCTGTCCCGCTTTCCAGGAAATAAAAGATGAAGGCCCCAATCAGCATGTAGAACATGATAAAAATCAAAGGGAATAGATACTGAAAAGTAACTTTTTTGAATTTCCTTGAAGTTTCGATGAAAAAGACCATAATTCTTTAAAAATAGTCAGTTCAAAAACCATTGCTAATGTTTTTTCAAGCTTGGAGCTTTTGTCTAACCCCTAAAATGCTACTAAAAAATCATCTGTGTTTGAAGAACTACATAAAATTAGCCTGGGCTCTTTTTTCAACAGGCTATAACTCACCTTGATATGATATCTTTTATAGGCATCTTGGAAAATTTTTCGTATATTGAGCTTCTTTTCCTGTTGTACAGCTGCATCATTCGCATGAACTCTGCTCTGAAATCCTCGATTGATCCTTTGAAAAAGTGATTTTTCTGTTTTGAATTGCAGGCAACTACGGACATTCACAAGACAGAAAAGGGTAGTACTCAGGTGAAGGGCACCGCATTCGGGAATGGATTGGGAGGGCTACAGTAAGAAAGAATGAGTATCTACGGAGTCGCCGCCAACCTTGTACTCAAGGTAATCGATCGCTTTGTACAAGTCTGTTTGCTTCGTGCAGTTCTATAAAAGCTTTCAGGAATGTTCTTAACATGGAAATTCCATCAAGGGTCCTGGTCATTGACCAAAATATTATTTTTGAAAATTATAGTTTGGGCGACTGAGAAAGGGTGTAGCGGTTTTTAGAAGGTTTCGAGATATCACTGGTATCTTGAGAGGAGCTGATAATAGTGGTCACTTAAGTAATTGGAGTTTCGGGTCCGTCAGGGCCTTCGTAAGCTTGCTCAAATATTTTAAATGGGGAATCCGGAAATCCATCTTAATTTCCTACTTTTCGAAAAAAAAAAAATGGACGATTTGAATTCAAAATTAATCCGTTTGGAAAAACTTCTGATATTTTCATCTGGTCGATCTTCAGAAACACGAAGTTTCAAATAAAGTACGCATTTAATCCCTGAAGTGACCACCGAGCCGAACAAATTCTTCTGTACACTATAGTGACCACTCTAACCATCACTTCAAAAAACCCTATAAAGACCACTAAAACCTCTTTTCCCTAGAAAGAACCTGAAGAATCCGCTCATGGAGAGCGTCGGCAGTGCTCGGGGTCGCCGAAAGCTGCGAAACTCGTCGATTTGTGCTGTTGCTGCTGGTTCTCCCGTGCTCGCCGAGCTGCCGAAAACGGGTTTAGACAATCAATCACCATGGACAAAGGGTTGGATTGGAGGAAATCTTGGTTCGTTTTGACATGGTTGGTGGAGAAAACGCATGGGAAAGAGGTAAAATTTCAAGCAAAACTTTTTTTTCGAGTCATTTTTGATCACACGATGCTCTTGAAGCTTTGAAAGCTCGCTATAAACTACTTGTTAAACTTTAAAAAAAGAGAAATTTATGGCCAAACTTTTGAACTTAACCTTTATGTATAGCATGATAGCAAAAAAAAAATTGGAAAAAAGACTTCGATTTGAAGAATTTTTAAGCAAATGACGCTAAGTTTTGGAAAAACAATAGGAAAATTTAAAGCACAGACACCAGAGAAGGATCTTTCAGACACTTTGAGTTTTCAAGTGATCCCTAAAGTGACGTAAGAACCTCTAGATGGTCTTATAGGAAATAAACCTGATCCGATGTTTCATATTCATTGGGAAGGGAAGGAAACCTGTGAATTCTGCGCGGAAGCTGGACGGTGCTGCTGCTGCCGACCTCCGCCGATGCCGCCGAAGGAGCGCAGCAGGACTGGCATGGTGCCAAGAAGCCGAAGTTTTGCTCGACTTTGACTTACGGCTCACCGAGGTGGTCACCTGACAAGAACTGGAAAACGGATAGTTTGTTTGGGCTTCTGAAGATCGCTTTAACAAATTAGGTCTTTGTCGGGTTTGGGAAAAAAGAGGCGTTCTGTATCAAACTTTTTGAGCTTGAAAACCCAAAAATGATCGTCGGAAAGCTCAAATTTCTAAGAAGAAGGAAAAATATGAACCATCCTTGATCATACACGTCATGATTCAGCAAACCTTCTCTGAAGACTGATCAAACTTGTAATCTTGTTAACAAAAAATAAAAGTAGTAAATTGAAAAAATTTGAAGAACAGTTATTCAAGTCATGAGAACAACAAAAGCCGCCTCGCTTTGAAATAAGAGAGGCTGGAAAGTTGGCAAAAAAGCGCGAGTTCTCAATAGCCGTGCGAAAATCAACACCGGCCCTATATACTGACAAGACCAAGGTATACTCAGTTCAAGGGATGTCGAGGGCCAGTTTGGAAAGTAAAGCTCAGAAATAATGTAGGGATATCCTTGTATGTACTGGATGTTCTATAGAAACACACTCTGAAGTCCAAAAAGTCATTTTTCAACGGTGAAAGTATCATTTTCATGTAAGGTTTCGAATCCTGAAGTTTTTCAAAAAATGAGAATTCGTCCAAATTCGGACTAAAGATCTCTTCCAAGTGAAGAAAGGAGTATTCGAGAAGTGTTTCGAAAGAATTAGAGAGGGCAAAATCAAATTAACCTCCTTGTCAGCTGAATTTTTGCCTGGATACATTAACCTCAATTGTTAACTCATCAAAACATTTCTAGAATCAACAAAGTTTAGAGAAAAAGGAGAAAAGCTAAAAATTGTATTGATGAAAAATAAATGAATTTTACGGTAGCCTTATTTGAAATTTTAACCCAAAATATGTTAAACTGAAAATTTCTGAAATTGAAGAGTTTATCATTATGCCCTCGGACCTTGGTAACGCGAACCGGATGGAAAATTTCTAGTGACCACTTTAGGGACCTCAGCACTCTTAAGTGAACCCTAGAGTTGATCAAAAACGTCCCGATTTTTCCTACGGAGGTCTGAGCCGTGTTAAAAGTTCAAAATTATCTCTGACTCTCAAGAATTGAGATCTTTCTCGCTCTCTGACGGTTCTCGGAATTAAAGTGAGCACATCACGATACTTGAAAAACAATCTTGATCTATCAAAAAAAAAACCCATGTCAATATGCAAAAAAAGATTGAAGAAGCAGAGATCGATAGACGAGCGGGGGAGTCCAGTGATGAGCGAGGAAAAGTGTATGCTATCAGGCTTGTCATCTTTACAAAAACAAGACGAGCCTCTAGTCATGACGCCTGGGGCTCTTTCAAAACATGTAAGAAGTTGGCTCAGGATACTCTTTGAAAATGACATTTTTTGGAGTAGTTAGTATAGATTTTTCGAACAGGGGTTACCTGAAATGTAGAGGAAATGTAGAAAAATTTGAAACTTTCGATTTTCAATCTAATTTCCCGTTTTTCTCTCGTTTTAATTCCAACTTCTTACAGAAATTGGATTTTTCCAGCTCTTAACACTTTTTCCTCAAACATTAGCCCTTCAGTGCAAGTCAAGAAATTAGAATGAAAATAAAAATTTAAAAAAAAACGGGAGCAAAAAAGCTCGGGCCACGATAACGGAAACCGGACGTTTTTTATCAATTCTAGGGATCACTTAAGAGTCCTGACGCCACTTAAATGGTCACTAGAAATGCCACGACACTTTCGATTCGCGTTACCAAAGTTGGAAAAACGCAAAAAAAAATCAAATCATTTTTTTATCGGTAGAGCGCATATGCAGCAGAATTCATCACGGCTCAACTTTTTTTTCCAAATTTTTCTCATAAGCCAAAAAAGTTCTCCTGCTGAAAAAAGATAGGAAATCTGAACTCTTACTCGATTTTTGACCCTTATCTCTCTTGGCGCAAACTAAAATCGATGGCAAATCCTTTCGAAAGTATAGACGGGGGGAAAAAAGTCTTGTCGAATGGAGGTGGAAAAAGAGTCGCCAGGAGCAGCCGCATTTATCACCGGCCGTTTATTTTAACCATTCATTGCCGGTCATACTGCGCTGCGCTGCCAATTGCAACAAGGAAAAAGATATAGTTCCGCGAGAATCGGAAAAAAAAAGTTGTCCGGAGCTTTTCTACATTCAGGAAGAGAAGATACATGGAGGAAATCAGGGAAATTTCAATTTTTATTCAGATTCGTGAAAATCTTATTTTTTTTTTTCATCAAAGTTGAATTTCTCTTGAAAGAGAGGGTTATTGAACTTTGCGGTTTGGCTTCGCGTGAAAATTGGGTAAATGCTCTATCAGGTAAAGATCCTGAGAATCTCAACTTGCAAAAATTACTAACTTTTGAGAAAGAAGCTCTAAAGTTAATTGAAACCCGGAGGACCCGATAAAATGGGCTGTTCTGCAACTTTGAGCCTTTATTTCTTGAAAACTGAAAATTTGTGTAGGTAGCGACTTTCAAGATCTACTATGAAGTATATACATTGAGGAGCGTTCTGACCAAAACTGAGAAAATTACCAACTGCAAAGTAAAATTTCCTTCCCCTCCTGTTCAAACAAACTAAGATATTTTTCTCAATATCCTCTTCATACACAGTCTTGGAAGAGTCCATAAAACTCGAAGACGTTAAAACAAAGCACACAGCTTAAAGAGCACATTAGCTCAAAAATCGACGGAATATTGGATTTCTGAAACGGATGACACGTTTTCGTTTCGTTTTTTTTAGCCCCCGTTGTAAAATGCTCTTTCGTGTTTGTGGACTTGGCCAGATAACCCCACATTGTTTTTATTTGGTCCTTTAATGGCTGAAAAAACTGCCAGGAAGTGGAAAAATTGGTAAATTTTCGGGAAAAAAAAACTGGGACTCTCCCACTAGAACTAGATGATGATATTATTTTTTGTCAAGCAGAAAATTGTCAATAAAGTTGAGATGAAGCATGAAGTCTATTTTTTTATATTTCATCAGTTTTTGCGAAAGTTAATTGTGAGAAGTTTGAAAATCAATTGTTCAAAACTGCTTCAGATTCTAAAATTCTAAAACTATTTGAAGAATGGAGGATTTCAGAAGGATATTTTAGTGGCCACTAAAAGAACTCCACATTTAGTGGTCCTTCAGATGTTTCAATAATAGCTTTGTAGTTCGATTTCAATAAAAATTTTTGGTCACGGCTTGGATCTGCCTGTGTTCTCTTCTCTTATATTCCTTCAGCAGCCATAAAAATGAAAGTAGCACGATAACAAGAGAGCGCATTCAAGGCAGGAGTTTTCAAGTCGTGGCGAATTGTGTGTCGTCATCAGCTCAAAAAATAAAAATCTTCTGGAACGCCAAAAAAAGTTTCCAGAAAACTTTATCAAGAGTCCTACAGTGGTCACTGAAGCTAATTTTTCCAAAAGAACGAAAATAATCCAAGTCCTAGAAAAGGGACTACAGGCTCTACCAGTCACAGTACAGCTATATCCACAAATCTGCATCACACTTGAGAAAATTAAAGTCGCAAATCGCTTGAAAAAGACAGAAACGTTAATGATACATCATTCTAACCTTATCACTTATGATCTTTTTCTCTCGGATAAAGTTTCAAGACAAAAGTAGATTCAAAAAATCCGTGAGTAAATTAAGAAAAAAGATAGTTGTGGGTGGACGAAAAGGCTGACTAACAGCAAGCAACAGTAGTGGAAGAAAGCAAAGGCCTCGCAGGTGTGAGGGGCCCGAGAGCCGGGTGGAAAAACGTTTGTTTCGGCCAAGCGTCATTCATCAGAGGGGGCTGCCTGCTCCTGAGGCAGCCCCTGTTCCCCAACCGTGTCGCGACGTAATTGCTTCATTTCCAAAATCTGATAAGATTCCGAGGAGATTTATGGAAGCTCTCATCGCTTCGCAACTTCTCTGTGCAAAATATACCTTTTTTTCTTCTTCTTTATACTATAACGACTGGAAGAAAAGAATGAGGGCTTGAAAAATTGGCTAAACTTGACTCATCAAGAATATAATCTGGGCACTTTCAAAAAATGACAAGAAAAACTGGAACTTAAAGTTTGGCTCGAATTTATTTAGGGAGCTTGAAAAAGCCCGGGAGTTTACTCAATCTAAAAATCAAAAATCACACCCCGTCTGAAAAAGTTCTAAAAAAAAATGGACTCAAAACTGTGAACTTCGGAATTTTCTTGTGCAAAACATACTTTATTTTCTTCTTCTTTTTATTATACCGGCTAAAAGAAGAGATTCTGAGGTTGAAAAATTGCTATCAAAAATATAAAATCTGAATACCTTAACAATCATAACAACAATGACAGGAAAAACCGGTGTTATCGAAGTTTGGCTTGGATTTGCTCATTGGTAGGCCACATAGCGGTGTCGCCGACGACGGTCGTCGAAACTCGGCCTTCGACGAAGATTCGCCGGCAAACGTCGCGTATTCGGTTCACGCTGATTGCCTGAAAAACTACCGTTTAGTTTTTTACCAAGATCTGTACAAACTAGGGAGTTTTCGAACATTTTATTTGACCGCTTCGCAAGCCGCGGCGCGCAGCTTTGCAAGCTTGTCACGATTTTTTTTTTCTCCGAGTTGCAGAACCCTTTTCTGGGACAAATGCAGTAAAACACTAATGACAATAAATATCTTCGTTCGTCGTTTTTTTCTGAATGTCCATCCTAAAAACTCAAGAAAACGCCCTATGCGCCTTTAATCAAGCCTAGAAATTTCCAGTTTATTAAATGCGCATGCACAGAGACAGGCCGCGCGCATCGAAGAGAAGAATTCTACGAGAAAACGAGAAACGAGAAAAAAAGCAACAAGACTGCCCTGCGCGGTCTATAGCTACAACACCATTAAAACTGTCTTTGATTTTCAAAAATTGAATTTGAGTTTTCATTTTTCATTTAAAAAAACTGAGCAATGTTCCAAACAATGACAAAACTTTCAAGAAATTTTCTTCAACCTCTCTACCAAAAAAGTAAACAAAACTTGCTTTTCTTTTTCACAAAATAGGGGAGAAACAACATTTTGGAACAGCCTACGTGATAAATTGAATGTCACGTTTTCTTTTCATTTTTTTTTTCAGCAGCCGCTGTTGTAATGATCTGTGCTCCGTCATGTTTCTGATTTCTAGAGATAAACCTGCGTCTCTCTTATTTCATGTGGAACCTATCAAAAACTAACATGAATCCTTGATTTTTGAAATTGCCTTTGTAATCACATGACACTGCTACCTAAGAAAGTGATTTTGACATTTTCAAAAAAAAAACTCGAGGTATTCAATAATGAGAAAAACAAACATTGATTCTGTATTCGAGTTCGGGGACTGGAATACGACGACCGTAGCACAGAATCTGACGGCCAATGTCCTCACAAATCGGCGTTGATCCGTCCAGCATCAGAAGCAAATTCGTGAGCAAAGACCGTTTGGCGCGTTCTACCGTCGCCGCATCGACGTCTGATAAAATATGAATTTCTTCAGAAATTTCATTCGAATAAATCCCGCTAGAAACGTTTTCAGCTGGTAGATTTTCGACACTTTACTACCTTAGGCGCCATTTTTAAATAGCTAGGTCTCAGATTTTCGAAATAAACAAAGTAAGACCATTTTCTCCTAGACCCATTTTTTTTTCTGTGTTAGCACAAATGATATTTGAAAAGTCTCAAAAAACCCGATTTTAATACAGGTTCACGGGTTGAGACACCTGTTCAGCATGAGAGGTCATTGATGCAAGGCTACTGTAAACATGCGGCAAGCGCGAAACGGTTTTTGGCGAGAAAGGACGGTTCAAAAAACGAGTCATTATTTAAGCTATTAAAAAAATCCGATTTTTTTGTTGAATTATTCTTTTTCTTTAACAGCTTCTGATCATTTTTTTGCTAGTTAGTGAGATTTTTACGGAGTAAAAAAAGAACATATTTCAAAAATTTTTAGAGAAAAAAAAATTCAGGAACACAACTTCCATTCAGAAATCGATTCTCGAGCGCTAAATTTTACCAAGGACAGAAAAAAAGGCTTCAATTATAATTATTGAGAGAAACCCATAAAAAATGTCTTTTTTTTAAAGTATTTCACTGAAAAGTGATCTCAAAAACTTGAATAAAGTTTGAAAAAAAGATACCCCAAAAGTTTTTTTTAAAGAAGAAACCGCCAAAATAATAACAAAATAGAAAACTTACTTTCGGCCAGCCATTTCCACTCTTCCGTGACGGCATCGATAAATTGCACGGCAGAATTTCCTTCGACAACAAAATAAATCCCCACGAGACCCGTTTCCTACGAAAAAAGATTTTGTTTGGACATAATTGAAGATGAAAACTTTGTAACAGGTGTTGAAGGCCTGGAAAGACTGAACGCCCCTCTGACGACCGACTTTCAGGGCCAATCTCGACGGAGCATTGACGCCAAAGCCGCGAGTTCGGTCGTATTCGCCCATGAGCTGGAGAAAAAGAAGGTAGACCGAAGCTTGGAGGGAGTAGCATAGAGGAGTATAATTTGAATTACTGCTCGTTCTCATTTTAAGACTCAGTGGAGCTTCTTGGTACAATTCTGTGAAGCAATAAAAATAAATCAAGAGGGAAGAACTGATTTTTTTTTATTTATGAAAAAGGAAGGGACGTCTGCCTTAAAAATGGAAAAATGGCGAGCCCATTTATGGTTGCAGCACTACAAAAGCGGTATTATCAGCAAATTTTTGTCTGTATTTTCCAACTTTTCAACACGTTTAGGTTCAGTTAAATTCAAAAGGTACCGTGTTGGCGACCATCAGCGTGAGATTGTCTTCGTGGGTCCACGAGACGCCTTCCGTTACTAGGGCGCCGTAGCAGAAGTCCATGCCATCAATCGGCATGTTTATCTGTGAAAAAATGACATTTTATCAAAGACAGGATCATGGTGGAGAGTTAGAGCTTGCACAATAAACCTATCAGCTGAATTAGAAAAAAAGTTTGTACACATATTTTTTGGAAGTTCCTGAGAATCTCCTTTATTACTTTACTTACATTTTGAAAGTAGAAGCTTCAAAATTTAGTTTTTTGCGGAGAAAAATCAGGCTTTGAGCCCGTTTCGTATATAAAGCTTCGGGACTTTCAAAATTCTCATATCTCAATCTAATTTGAACTACTGAGAAAAATTAGAAAAAAATTCAAAAAAACAGAGAGAAAGACGATCTTTTTCATAATCTTGACTGGACGAGAAGTCAATAGAAAAAAATAGAAAAAAAAATAAAAATAAAAAGTCAAAAAGTTGAAACCGAAAAATTAGCAAACTGACACTAAGGTTTTTTTGACAGGACTAGAAGCATTCGAGACGATACAAAAAAAGATATATATATATACAAGAAATTTCCTTCGCAACTTTGAGCTTCATCCAAAGAAATTATAACAGCATGGAACAGTTAAAACGCATCAACTGTCTATTTTTAATTCATTGAAAAGCAAAATTAAAAATGGAAAAAAAGCTATTCGGAAAAAAACTAGAAAATGAAAAAAACCCTTATCCTAGCACCATTTTTTTTTTTTTTGAATAACCAACTTCGCAAGGAGTGTAGACGGCTGGGACAAATTCGGCAGACGCGTCTCCATGCTGTAGACCGCCGAAATATTTTTCTGCCAATCGGACAACCTGGAAACCTAAATTATTAAGAAAATCTTCAAGAAAAATGCCTCATCATGATTGACGCCACCGGCCGCCGCCAGAAGCATTCTCCCGCTTCGGTAGTGCGTATTGATGTAGTTTTTCAAATCAGCTTGGTTGATTGTGCTGCAATCATGCTAACTTCATATAAGAAAAGTGACTGAATGTTTAAGAAAATTTCCACGTTAAAAACAAGAATGAAACAGAAAAAGTTTGCTTTTATCAGAAAACCAAAAACCGATTTCAATTTTAATTTTTAAGAAATTTTTCTCTGAGACTTTGATCATTTTAAATAAATTTTTAAATTGCTCATTTTTTTCGAAAACTCTGACTAAAGGTGATTGAAAAAAAAAATCAAATGAATGAGAGATGGTCTCAAAGCGAATAGATTATTCCAGTGTTCTTGAAATCTTATTAAACCTCTGCGCCTTCAAAAACTCCGTCAATAATTTTATTCTGACGCAATCTTAAACTCACTTAATATTCTTAACCGGTCCCAAAATGGTCATGGAAAGAGGATTTCCTTGAAATGTGCCGGTGTGCAAGTGATCAAACACAACTTCCTATAAAAAAAATGATTAGAAAATCTTTTCCCATGATCAAAAACCTGCAAATTCTGCTCGACTTCTTCCATTTCGCGCAAAATGACGCCTCTTTCCGCTTCAATATCCCGTTTATCGAGTTTACTGTTCAGTAAAATATCAGCGAGAATGTTGACGGCTTAAAAATGTATCGATTACATTTTGAAAGCAAATGAGAAATTACAATCTTCAAGATGTTCAGAGAAACATTTTGCATAGTAGACGGTTTGTTCGCGGGAAGTGTAGGCGTTCAAATGAGCTCCCATATTTTCTACTTCAAGTTCTAAACTGTTTCGCGTCCTTGAAGGTGTACCCTAAAAATTTTGAATTCAAACATTTTTCACGAGCAAGAAAAACCTTAAAAGCCATGTGCTCCAAAAAGTGAGCTGTCCCGTTGTTGAGATCGTTTTCATAGCGCGATCCGGCATCGATCCAAACACCAATCTAGAAAAATTCGAATAAAATTGAAAACATTCGAAAAGACAACCGTTGCAGTCGGAAAATCTGTGTTTTCTGTCGCCACTCTAAAACCGCTGGGCAATGTGGAAACGACGGTTTGTGGGAAATAACATGGTTTTGGTGCAAGCTGTGCAAGTGCTCTACGTACTGGCTGAAAGATACCATTACCAGAAAGCTTTCGATTCTTCTTACCTTGATTATTCTGGGCCTTAAGTATCTGTGCATCGAAGCTCTGAAAACTTTCTTTTAAAATTGTTCATTCTCGATTATTGAAGCCAAAATGATGCAAAAAAACCTATATCTAAATAGTAATAAGAAAAATAGGAACTCAGATTCATCTCGCAATAGGAGTTTGGAAACAAAAATTCGCGATATTTAAAAGACTTCTAAATCAAAGAAAAAGTGAAGCAAAACACTAATGAAAAATGAGAGCTTTCGTTCGTCGTTTTTTTCTGAATGTCTATTCTAAAAAAACTCAAGAATTGGGAAAGCTCTTGCAATCAAAAACCTGTAAACAAAAACTCAAAAAAATATAAAAAAATAAAAAAATAAATATTTTTTTCATTTTTGGCGGCTTCTGCGCTCTGTTGTCTTATGTTTTTGAGCACACTTTCCTGTGATTTTGAAAAAAAAATATTTTGTTTTTTTGATGTTTCGAAATAAATCATTTTAAATTCGATTTTCTTTCTCTATAAATTTCTTGAGGTACTTCACGCATGGTACAAAAAGTCATAAGTTAAATACCGCTGTTATTGAGCTTGTTTTTGCAGCTTGAATCTTCTTTAAATTGCAAGCCTGCATCGATAATTTCGATTTTATCAATTTATGCTGCTTATTTCTGGCGACAGGAATATGGCAGCGTTTGGCGTCGAGCTTTCCTTTGGTGTTCGGTTAGTTCAATTTCTTCAGTTTTTAGCCTTTTGACTTTATTGTTCTTTTTAAAATAGTTGATAAAACTCTCATTGCTTGTATTCAGGAATATACAATTTCACCCGAGTTTCACCGGAGTGAGAGCTAGCATCCAAACATTGCAATCGAATGACGACATTTTTGTTGAGGTTCTTTTCGTATTTTTTTTATGCAGCGGTATTTATTTTCAGTTGAGCCAAACGGAGCCAGTATATGGAAGCACAGACGTTTTTTTCAATCATAAATGTCAGCTGAATTTTCGATTCGAGAAGCTTCAACGAGTGAAGATTTTAGTGTGAGTTTTTGTTCAAAATGGAGGTATCTATGAGAAAATGGCTAAAAAAGAAAAAAAGGAACTTTCTTTGTGATTTTCTAGCTTTCTGAAGGTCTAGATAAAGAGGGAACTTTAAAGACTTGAATTTTTCAAAAAAATATTGAAAAAAAGATATTAAAAAGAAAAAAAAGTATTCGAATAATTTAGCTATTTCAAAAAAACTTCATTTTTTTACCATATTTGGACAAATTTGAAAAATTTTTTTCAGTCGTTTAAACATTTTCTGTGAGTTTTTAGCATCAGCATTTCCAAAATCCTGATCGCCGGGTTCCCACAATCACCTTTTCAGTTTGGCCGTAGATCAGCGAAGTTCAAGAAACCCAGTTGGAATCTACGGAGAATGCCAATTCGACCTTTCCGTTGTCTTCGCTTCTGGCGGAACCTTGAGCCTTCCTTTGGCCGGCACGTCTTCTCTCGTTGACGTCACTGTCACGGTTCCGGAATTCTACTCCCAGTACCTGAAGATGCGCTTCTCCGGCAGTCATATCCACTCTCCGGATGGTCTGCCACTCGCTCTCTACTTCGTTTTAGTTCTCCCAACTGGCCCACGCAACCTTTTGCTCTATAAAAGCGACGTTGTCAAGGTTTTTTTGAATCATTTTCTGTTTTTTTTTTCCTTGAAATATAATAGCTTGATACTATGTTGTATGAAACATAAAAAGAAACAGTTCCTCTAAATAGTTATTTTAAATCGATTCAATTAATTATTGGACAATTTTTCAAGAGACAAATGAATGGTCTTGCTTTTTTTCAACTAGATGGTTGTTTTTTTCAAGCTTGAAAAAAATTTTTGAGTTTTTAAAAATTCGGAAACCAGTTTTTTTCATATGATGTCATTATTACTTGACTGTTAGGAGAGTAAAAAAAATTTTCACAAAAAAATGTTTTTTTCTTATCAAAATGCTTGTTTTTTTATAATCTTGTATATTCATCCTCATTTTGGAAAGTTCTTGGAGAATATTTTTTTATGGGAAAAATTTTTTTAGTTTTTCTTTTTGTCCGAAAGCTAATGGGGATATCAAGCATTTTTTTCGACTTTTTTGGTCAAAAGATTTTTTTCCTCGCCTATGTTGAATAATTTTTTCCCACTTCTAAATTTTCCAAAAAGACCTTTTTTGTTTAGGACGACAAAAACCCTCAATGGGCCGCTTTCAGTATTCCTCTGTACATACTCCATTTTTACAACGAATGTTCCATTCAGTTGCGGGTTTTTAATCAGAATGTCAATCATCCCGATTCCTATGTTGGTTCGTTTTTTTTTTTGCTTTATTTCAAGGGTGCATGAAGGTCTCGAGGCGAAGAGTCGTTTTTAGTTATACTTTTGGTTTTCGGACTTTTTTTAGACCTTTAAAAGCCCATGAATAGTTTATAATCATTGATGGGCAGACTATCTTTCTAAGAATTATTTTTATACCTTACTTTTAATTTTTTTTTTTCATTGGCATATCTCTCTCCCTGACGCATTGAGTTCCTCTTGTTCATGTATTTTTGAAAAAGTATAGTTCTTTTTTTTTCAGGATATATCACGACAACTCTGACCCAAATACAGCGGGGCGCTGGTACTTTCAACTCCTACATGGTTAGTTTTCGAATTTTCGAAAAGAAAAAAAAAAGTTTAAAAAGAGATTGATTTTTAGCTGATGCACGACAATGGACACCGGATCGGCGAGAAAACAAGTGTAGATTTGCGACTTTTAGAGCTTGAAAACGGGCCGACGATATTTGAGATGTGGAGAAATAAGTGGGTTTTCAAAGTTTACTGTTTTGAACACATTTATCAAAGCAATTTTGTGATATTGTTTTTTTGAAATTGGAAAAACTGAAAGGGAATTAGTTTCAATAAATGAGGATTGTATCGCGAAATTGCGCTTTCCAAATTTTTGATTTACTAACTTTTTCGAAAAACGAAAAAAGTGTTTATCTTGTGATATAATTACATTGTAGTCAGATAGAACTTTCACAAATTGTGTCGCTCTTTTTCGGCTTCAAAAGAGCAGAAAAATTATTCGAAAGGATAAAAAAATCAATCGAAAACTCACGCTAAAAGCTCTTCGAGAGGTTTATAGTAAGTTTCTCCCTCTTTTTCCATTTTTTTTTTTGAGAAATTTCTTTCGTAAAGAGCCGTCCTGAAACTTGTATTTTTGTCTTTCGGTCCGTTTTTTGACCATTTTGCTCGTTTTGAAGAGATTTTCTAATGATTTGTTTTGTTCACAAGGAAAATGAGTCAATGGAAAGACGGCACAAGAAATTACACGAGAACTTTTTTATTCTTCGGTTGATCTTTTCAGAATTTCTTAATTGAGAAAGAAAAAATGTCTTGTAATAGATCTAATTTCCAAGTTATGGGGCTTTCAAACATCAAAAGAAAGTCTTTTACTATTTTTTTTTTGCAGTTGAGGACTTAGAAACGATGTAAATCCAAAAAAATATTTCATTTGAAACTTTTTCCGTTTTACCAGGAGACCCTAAAAGGAAGTTAAGCTAGTTTGATCAAATCTTCAGCCGGGGTTTCAAAAATTTTCCTCGATGAATGAAAAATAAAATCTCATTATTTAAGGCCACAATGAGCATAAAATAATTTTCCAGCAGTTTTAGGAAAACCTTACATGATCCTCTGTGTATGAAGTGAAATTACATCATTCAGGACGAATTTTCACGTGACGGCGGCGGTCGACTTCACGGCCTCGAATGGAAGTATCGTGGAGGAATCTTCCCTTCACTATATCCATCCTCATAGGCCTTCGCCCTATCTCAAGGCGATCCTAGATGTTATTCCGCCTCTTCTGGCCTACATGCCGAATCCTAATAGTCCTCGCATCGGTACAAAAAAATCATCAGCTTTCAATAATTTTCATTTTAGGAGCACTTGGATTCGGAGCTCAGGTCAACGTTGGGAATAAAGTTCAGCTCTCGAATTGCTTTTTCTTGGTTTGTTTCCTTGCTGATTTCATGATTTGAACTGTAATTTATCTACTAAAAATAATAAAAATAGTTCCAAAAATGGCATTTTCGGAAGAACCGATCGGATACCTTCACAAGTTTAGAATCTTCAAGTTTTTTTTTCACCCAAGTTGACTAATAAGGATAGCTCTAGAGAGTGTATCGGAGCGCTATTAGCGCAGCAGGTTGTGTGCCTGTTCTTAGTCCAAAAGGTCGTAAGTTCGATTCCTGCCGGGACCCAACCAAGGAATTTAAGAAATTTTAGTATTGGGAAACCGCTCAAGCGGTACGAAGGCGTGAAAAAAAGAAGATTGAAGCGATATTTTCACGGTAGATATCCGTAACAAACAGATAGTTCACTTTTTCCATTATCTTGTTACTCCTCGTGATTTACAGAACTCCACAACGACGGATCATCAAGTTCTGGGCCTAAATGGTTTACTGGATGCCTACCGTCGGACGAGCATGTCTGCCAAACTTTTTGGACCAACTGACTTTTCAGAAACCATCTATTTTGTTTCGAAGTTAGTTTTTCATATCAAAAAGAGGGATTTGAAATGTTGTTCCGGGCCTACAGGATTGTAATGTATATGCAGGTAAAGTTCAAACAAAAAGCTTGTAGAATAAAAAACGGCATTGAAATTTCAACGTGAGACTTAGCAAGAGCCATTTGAAAATTTTAGAAATTTTCATAATTTTTTGTTGAGATAGCTTAAGAACTCTTTTTTTTCCAGTGCTGAGGTAGAAGTTCGTGATATGATTCACGGCTAGCTTGAGGCGTTGAAAAAAGGTCCTGACACGAAGAAAAAGAGATAATGTTAGGTTGGCGCAGACAGGCCACGCCCCCTTAGCGTCCCAAACTAACCGTTAATCAGCTTTAGACATATGACAAAAAACGACGAGCAGTTCTAAATTTGTCATTTTCCTAGTCTTCAACAAGTTTTCGAAGGAGTTTTCGGAAAATATTATTTATTAAACAAGGATTTTCCCACTCATCCACCAATAAGTCAAAAAAAATCGATTATTTAAGACAGCTCCGGACATTTTTCAAAATTAAATAAATGTCTATAAAATGATTTTAATTTTAAATTATCAAGCAATAAAATTCAGATTCGCGAAGGCCGAGTCGAAAAAACGGCTCGGTCTGTACTTTGTTTTATTGATCCTCTCTGATGGCGGTCCGGCCAATCCGAAAAGAACTATCGACGCGATTGTCGACGCCTCGCCTCATCCGATGAGCATAGTTGCTATCGGAGTTGGAGAGGTTTTTCAGAAGAAAAAAATCACAAAAATTCATACCCTCCTCCTCAGAAACGCAATTTCGGACCAATGAAAGCCCTGGAGTCTCCAGTTTTGAAACACTCGGACGGGCGTCCTTTGGCTCGACAGGTTATCAATGTATACAGAGAGAAATAATGTACTTTCTTCGCAGAACTACATTTTCGTCGAAAGCTCGAATCTCCAGGACACCGACTCTTTAGGACTACTAACCCTGCAAGCCGTTCAGTGGAAACGGCAATTCGATTCTTCGCCTCTTTCATTTTGAAGCATTTTATCGGGAAACCAGTGCCTTTATTCAGACTGTCATATTATGTAAAAAAGAAAAATCTTACTTGCATACTTTAATAATTGCGTAATTAACCTTGCATCTAGTATTAATTGTAGAAATTTACTCAACCGCGTAGTTTTTTTTTCGCTTTTATCATAATACTTGATTCTCGGTGACTTGAAGCGCTAGAAAATCGTATGGAATGGCGCAAAGCGTCGCGGTCGCGTTGCGGCTTTCCTTTCATGCTCTAGGATGCCGTAAGTAGTTTCTGGTCGGCTGCACTCAAACCCGAAAGCACCTAGAAAAAATATGTTTTTTAGAAGATACTCTCCCGCGCAAGTAGTTTCTAGTCAGGCGCGCTGGAACTTCAGATTTTTTAAAGTATTTCACCCCCACGCATTGAGCCATTCCACGTGCGACCAGGGCTTTTTCACGTCTTGGCGGAGAAAAAATAAATTATATAGTGCTTGTAGAAAAACACTAATGTTCCTTTATGTATTCTTAATTTGTAATTATCTCCACATGTAATAAGCTTTTTTAGAAATATTTTCTTATTCACATACTTAAATTTGTAACCTTGTTAACCGCCACTGCTTTTCAAAACGTATATGGGTGTAATTCTTGGAATAAAATTGATTCTACGCGACCGAACTCATTTCCATCGAAACTCGTCTCGTCGGCTGATGTCAGTCAACGGAACTTCTCGAATATTTCACACCGTTCTCGACGACAGTCGCGACTTTTTCCAGTGGATCCTCGGGTGTCGCTACATCCGAAAAGAGTCAGGCATCGTGGACGGGTAGCTTGCGAAAAAGACCTTTCAACAAAGTTTTTTCTAGACTGAAGACATTTTTCCACTTTTCGAAGCCCCAGTACTTGACGATAGAAGAAAATAATGCAAATTCGACATTCTTTCTCATCGAGGAGCCACAGACGCTCAATAGCAAACTTGCCGTGTGATTTTTTGAATTTTTTAATTTGAGGCAATAATGGTGGGTTGAAGAGAGTGTAGAGAAAGAGAGGCTTTTTTTTCTCTAGCGTTTCTTCAGCCATACTGATCTTTCGCTTCTTCTATTCGAGATTTTAGTCCTTCTGGGGGATATCAAGAGACTACAGAGAATCATTTCTAGTTCTCTGGAGTCTCTTCAGACTCTCTGTACTCTCGTTTTTCCCTTTTTGAAGAAATTGAAGATTTGTAGAGCAACTGCAGTATGAAGAGACCTCAGAGAAAGATATTTTTATTTCTCTGGCGTCTCTTCAAGTACGCTTATCTCTCAGCAGATTTTCCAATCCTCAACAAATTTCAAACCTCAGAAAAGCTCATAAGCCCTAGTCATACAAAAAAGAACAGTTAAAAAAATACTTCGAGACCCTTGCCTATTTCTTAACTATGCTCCTTTAAAGTTATCTTTTCAGAGTCCTCGGTATAGTCGTGGCTATTTTTGTCCTTTTCCTCATCTCCGACACAATTCTCAACTTTTATCGATCGATTTTTAGCATCAACGATCCTCCCTCAGTATATATTCTTCTCAAAGAAAGTAAAATAAACTTGAAATCAAATCCAGGGAATTTCGACCCCAGTGAATCTGTCGCCGAAAAACAGCGTCCAATTCCAGCTGCCAATGAACCGAACATCGGTTTTGATGAATGAGCCGGTTAATTGTGTCTATATCCGGCCCAGTACCCCTCCGTCAACCAAACCGGTTTGAAAACCTGAAATCACAGTTTTTTTAAAGATTGAATTATCAAAAGTTGAACAGGTTATCATGGGTATTTTTGAATATTTTTTTCAAGAAGCTCAAAAAATTACTGATTTTCTGAGTTTTTACTTTTTCAAACCATGTTTCATACCGCCAAAAAGCAATTGAATGACTTCTTGGAACTGAAAAGTTGAAATAAAACACTTTTTTTATTAATAAATAATTTTTTTCTTTCATCTTAATGTTTCGTTTGATTTAAATTTTTTTGACTACGTTTTTTTACATATAGGGGCTCTTTTTGATTATTAGACGGTTTAGAAAAATTCTAATAATCAGTTTTTTTATCTACTAAAATTAGTGGGAATTTTTTTGAAAAAAACTACTTTTGATTTAGACATCATTTTTCAAGGCTTTTTTTGTGACTTTCTAAAAAAAGAAATTTCAAATTGAGTGAAATTTTTGAAAAAAATAAAAAAAAGTACTGCTTATGTTGAGGGATAATATTTTAGACCGCAAAAATTTTTTTCTCTGAATATGAGAACTTCAGTAGTTTCTGTGGTTTTTTTAGCTTCCGTTTTTTTCAATAATGAAGATCGTGAGCCTCGGTTCAGTGCTACAGATTTTAAAAAAGCTTAGTTTATCTTTTATTTTTGAGGAAATGTTTGTGAATTTCTGGGTTTAGTTGCAGCAACAAAGATCCATGGGGTTGCCGCTTTCCTCCATGTCGCCGACCAGTTCCATCGCTTCTCCAATTCAAGTTCAGATGGCCGTTTCCAAGTATCTTTCTGTTCGAAAAAACTCTTATGTGGATTTCAGAGAAAAAGAAGTAGTCCATGAGCAAGTCAAAGCGACGGCTACAGCTTCAGTTTCACAAGAAGCCAAGGTTTATCTTTAGATTTTATGAGAAAATGAAAAAAAAATGTAAAAATAAAATGAAAAAAAGGTTTTTTTCTAATTTGAAAGTGTTAATCGAGTCCATTTTTGGAAGAATGAGCTAGTTTTATCAAATACTCAAAGCCACTATAAAGTCCAGTTAAAAGCCTTGAAAGCCTATCCGCTGCTTCAAAACGCTTCCGACCAGAAACGACTTGCGCTTGATGGCATGGAAAAGCATCTCTTTTGAACTTACTCTTTGGTTTATTTTTTTTTTTTTGGCTATATTTATACAGTATTGTAACTGAGGGAAATAATCAGAAATCTCAACATTTCAAAAAAAAAATATTGAGTAGATTTTCCGAATCTAAATAAAAAGTTCTTCCATAAAACGTAAATCAGAGACGATTTTTTACTGCCTTTAACAAAGATTTTCCTCAGAGTTTCAAAAAGTTCTTTTCCAGAAAGCCGAGCCAGCAAAATCCAACGATTCTTGGCGCAAGATCTGCGAAGGGAAGAGCCCAGTCCAGAATCCCATACAGAAAATCCAAAAGAAAGCGAAAAAAGACGACGACACTGTGGACATGGACTCGCCTTCCGAACGTGACGTCACCATCGACGAGAGCCTCACTTCACCTCAAACTCCTTCTGATGTCAAGAAAACCAGACCTTCCGCGGGGGCTGATGAGGGTTTCAACAATATTGGCCTCGATGATCTGCCTTTTGACCTTCTTGAGATTCTGAACTGGGCTTTGGTTTCGGTTAGTTCGGTCTTATGTCTTATGAGGCAAGAAATAGACATCTGATAAATCTTAAGGAGGACAACTGCTTTATTTTTCAGAACAATGAGCAGAAAGAAGCTTCGGTGGAAGAACTGCGCGAAATCCAAGACATCATGGGCCAAAGTTCCGAAGAAGATGTGCGTCAAGAAACGGACAAAGGCCCTTCTGGAAAGTGTTACGATAAAATTGACGATCTTCTGGAAGTTATACGAGCTTCAATTGACACAGCTCCTTTCTCTCCTTCAACTGCTCAACTGGAAACTGAAGCCTCACTCCTAAAATCCCCCAAGATACATTGGAATCAAGAAAAGAATCAGAAAGAGCAATCGGATATTGTCTTCAAAAACTACAATATTCTGGAAGATGGATCAGATAGAAGTTTCGCGTCTGGAGACGCTTCCGAAGTTGTTTCGGAACTATCAATTGAAGAAGAAGAAGAAGAAGAAGAAGAAATTGAAGGAATCGTGGCGAAAACAAACGGATGAGGAGCGCTTCGATATTTTAATCGATGGTGATTTTTTCAATTTTTAATTGAAAGTTGAGCATAATTTTCATTTTTCTTTGCTAGCTGGCGTCTCTAAAAGGGCTTTTTCGAAACTTATTTCTAATTTTTGAAGTTTGTTTCCTTTTTTCAAAAAAAAAAAAATGGAACCGCAAAAATTTATCTGATTCACAGCTGGCTTCTAAAAAAAGGTCTTGACACGATAATAAAATACACAGTGCATGGTTTATGGAGAGCGCAGACAGGTCATTTCCAAGCTAGCCGTGAATCGACTCGATCCAGTCCCATTTTTTGAGATTTTGCTTTTAATTTAAGTTTGAATGGTCATAGTTTTGGGTGATAAGAAATGGATTCACTATTCCGAAATGATTACGATAGTTTCGTTCAGAATCACCGTTTTTCACCGACTCGGAGACGTTCACGACAGGTTGCGTCAAAGTTTCCGAAGAATGTCAAGGATCTGCCGTCGTTCGCTTCCGCTGGACTGATTCAGCGGCGCAAAATGTACTTTCATTCATCTAAAATTTGATTTTTCTGGTCCAAATTTTAGTGGGAATTGCTAGGTACACAAAAATCGGAATTTGAGCTGCTCGCCTTCACATAAAGCTATTGAAAGTTGAAAAAAAAAGTTTTTTGGGAAAAAAATGAATATATTCGTCGCTTCTCAAAGCAAAAAAAAAAAATTCTTCAAACAATTTTTAACAACTACAAGTTCGATTTTTTTTTTTCGAGTACTCTGACCTGGACTTATTCAATAGTGAACCATGAAATGGAGAAACTGATTCCTTTTTCCGTCAATCGGTTATATGACAGAAAAATACAAGCGAGAGAGTGTGGAAGTTGAAGAGAGTCTTGAATAAATTCCACCTGCGTCTATTGAGATCCCACACTCTCTCTTTTCGAATAATCAAAATTTGAATGTGATCAAAAACGGGAGAAAAAAGAAATTAAGGTAACCTTGACGGGCTCATTTTTCGGCTGGAGCTTGGAACTGCCGTTGATCAAGTCTTCTGATGGGTCAGTCCAATCATTTCCAACATTTTTCAGATTTTCACATCAACATTTCCAGATCATTTTTTGCGATATCCCTAACCTTGCCCACCGGTACACACGAATATAGAATGGACATTTCGCCCAACTAGCGCGTCGGCCTTTTTTTTCTGATCAAAGTTCATCCATGACGACTTTTATTTCTTTATGCTCGTTTCAAAAATATCTTCGCCGATAAAAATACTTTTTCTCTGAGTTTACTGTGGGTATAGAAAGAAGCGCTGAAAGCTTGAAAAGTCGAAAAATAATTGATTTATTTTCAATTTCAAAGCCAGCACGAAGTAAGAACTTCCAGTAGTCGAGGTTTTTTGAACAGATGGATAAGAAGGAGATCCAGCTGTCGATTTGAATCCTCCATCAGACCAATTAAAACAGAAAAAAAATGATTCAGAATTTAAAAAAAATCCTTGAATCAGCGCAATTTTTACGAATATTTTGATTTTGCCGCTTTAATTTTAAACTCGACGGTTTTTGGATATTATTGAAGTTGAAGCTAATGAAATATGAGAAAGTTCGAAAAAATTTTTCAATCCGAGAAAGTAAAATTTCTTCAGTGGATTAGCCGTGGAGCACACTTCCACCTTCTGTCCAGGCCATTTTTCTCGGATTTTCGGACTCTTTTGACAGTTTTACTGTTTTTTTCTTAGTGAGTTGATTTTTCATAAAGATTTTCAGAAAACAGTCCTGACATATTTCAAAAAAGAAAACCAAGCATTTTCACAACGAAAAAATTTACAAAAACGACGTGAAAATTTTAAACAAAAAAGGCATTTAATAGTAATGGTTCGCGAGGGGAAGTCTTCTGGGGCGGCGGAGGCTATTTCAACCGCTCCTTCGCCCGCTGCTAGCCAGGTACATTAGAAAATCAAAGATTTACTAGCTCCCTTCACATAAAATAATTATGTTTATTCAACAAAAGATCAAAGAAATTGAAATGAACTACAAAGATAACATCTAGAGGTTTTTTTTATCGAATTCGTCTGAAAAAGTCTTGAAAGGTATAGTCCGTCCGCCGCTACAGTTTTCGAATGTCTGCGTCTCTCTGTTCCCTCACCGGCGAGGTTAGAGAAAAACGAAAATAGCGCGTCAACAAGAGAGGGTCGTCGAGAGACGAGGAGGGCGCAGAGAAGTCCCGCCATTTCAAGTCATGGAAAACGGACTACATTTTAGGAAATAAATTTAGTTCAAGCACGGATAAGCTTCTTTTTTTTCTAAAACGCTTTTGAAACATGTCGAAAAATCCTACAATAACTAAAACTCAAATTTCTTGAGGTGAGGGTGTTCCTGGAGAAGATCATCTTCAAGTTGGCAATGAGATGGGACCGCACGACGTGCTCGGACCTTTTCGTAGTATCCGAACTCGCGGAGTTGTGTTTCCGAGCTCGTGAGGCCCTCTGGTCGGAACCGATCTGTTTGAAGGTATTTTGAAGCGAAACCGATGGCCGCGTCGCGGCTTGCGAAGCGGTCATAGTTTTGATGATTTTCTGTCTCTAGAAGTTTTTTCATAGGTTTTTAATTGTAGATATAGTCCGTCCAGATTTTGAATGTCAAGTTTAGTCAATGTTTCCCGACTTGAAAGGCGAGGGAGGCGGGGCAAGGGGCGGGACGCGTAGCGTGTGCGTTTGCGGTTCTTGCCACGTGTTCAATTCATGCGCCATCGGCTCTTTGAAAAAGCCCGTTTTTTTCGCTTTTCATTTTTTCAGATATTTATTGATTATGTTCATATGTTCATCAAAAAATAGTAGAAAACATTGAAAAAGAGCAGTTGCCGAGCTTTTTAATTTGTCGGCGGCGATTGAATTGGACTCGTGCCAAGAACCGCGCACGCACACGCTACGCGTCCCGCCCCTTCCCCCGCCTCCTTCGCCTTTCAAGTCGAGAAACATTGACTATAGAATGACGTCATTCGAAAACACTCTGTGGATGGCTCGCTCTCTGATTGGTTTGTCGCGCCATCAGGGGGCGGAGCTTGAGCGAGGACTTGACATTTAAAATCTGAACAGACTATTAATTTCGTAACACCAAAAAGGACCACTGAACCTTGAATTCGGAAGAGAAAGTAAAAAACTGAGAATGGATATAGTCAGTTCACGGCCAGGTTGGACGAAAAGAGGCGTGGTCTCTCTGCGCTCTCCACCAACCAAGCACTGTCTCTTTTTTTAATCACGTCAGGACCATTTTCTGATGGCTCAGCTATACGGTTCTGTCGGCCTTTGGGGCCCGTCTGAACGCACTTTTGAACTAGAGTATCGGTTCAAATTGATCTTTTTCGGGTGGCAGCACCGATTTGCATCGTCGGCGATCTACACGGTCAATATGACGATCTCCTGGGCATGTTTGATCTTAACGGTTGGCCTTTCACGATGGACGAAATTAATGCCATTAGGGTAATTTTTTCAAAATCAATTTTTCAGCTCAAATGTTTCATTCAAGTTTCTACATTTTGAATGTCAGAACGTCAAGCTCCGCCCCTAATGACTGAAAACCAATCAGAGGGCAAGCCATCCACAGAGCATTTTCGAATGACGTCATTGTACTTGACATAAAAAAATCTGAACAAACTATAATTAATATTTATTCATTTATTGACGCATCTGAAAAAAAATCGAAGACTTTAAAGTTTCACCATCGCGAAAAAGGGGCGGGGCTTTGCGGTCTCTAACTATAATTTAAAACTTTTGACAAATACTGAAAGTTTTAAAGCACGTACTTTCTAAAAATATTTTCAAAATACGTACAAAACCTAAAATCCTAATTTTTCAGATCGATTCCGAAGGTGCGCCGAAAGACTTCCGAAGCCGTGTCAAGAGAATGTCGATGAAGGTTGGTTAAAAAGTTTTTTTTTCTTCTTGTCCGGAAAAAGGAATTGCTCCATCAAACATTTTTTAAAAATCATGAAAGTGTAACTTTCGGCGTCTCGCGATAAACGAGCTATCCGTGGGTCGGCATCTGAAGAAACGAAAAAGAGATTCAAAAATTCGACAGTGCGGTGAGTTTTTGAAAAAATGTGACCATTTTTGGGTCGTTTTGAGCCGATTTTTTGTTTGAAATAAAACATTATATTGATGTATATTTATAGGTACCTATTCCTCGGCGACTACGTCGACAGAGGACCGTTTTCTATTGAAGTCGTGACGCTTTTGTTGGCTCTCAAGGTATTTTTTTCTATTATTTTTTAGGAATCCCTGTATTATTTCCAGAAAATTATAAATTTATGAAATTTATGTAGTTATAAATTATGAAGTTAGGAGTAGAACAACGTGGGAAGTTCCTCGAAATTTTTCTCATTTTTTTTTTGAGCTCCGATGGCCTGACCGAATCTTCCTCCTCCGCGGAAATCACGAATCCCGTCCTGTGAACCACCACTATGGCTTCTACACTGAGGTCAAGTACAGGTACAAGTTTTCTACAGTTGAGTTGAAATTTCAAATTTCTATCTGAAATGAGTTTCAGGTACGGCGAGGAGCTGTACGAACTCTTCCAAATGGTCTTCAACGTTCTTCCTTTCACGGCCATCATCAGCAATAAAATCATGTGCATGCACGGCGGAATCAGCAGCCTTTTCGTCAATATGGATCAGGTTTTTTTTAAAAATAGCCTGCGACAAAATAGCTTGAAAAAAACGGCCGAGACGGCTGCAAAAGGCTCACGCGCCGCAGTAAGTGCGCTCTATGGACAACCGAGGGCTTGCACCTCGGGAGCAAAACCCTGACGTTTCTGAGCAACTATAGGGATCACTCAAGAGGGCTGACGCTACTAAAGTGTTCACTAAAATCTCTCCGACACGTCCGAGGCGTGTCCGAAATCCATTACCGAGGTCCGGGAAATTCGAAAATTCCGCTTTTTCTTTGAATTCTTTTTTCTTGTTCACTTTTCAGTTTCATTTCAAGTATATCCCGGATGACTGTAAAGTTCAGCACTACGAGTATGACAATATTTGTCTCATTCAAAATAAAAATAGATCATGCTGAAATTTTGTTTGAATAGATTGCCCATTTTAAATTTTTTTTTCAAGTTTGAGTGATGAGAAGTCAAAATTTCAATCCGTTTGATAAAAAAAATACCGAGTTTTCAAAATTATTTTCGAGTTTTGGCTCCTTGCCGAGTGAAAATCCTGTTTTTGGACTTATTAACCTGATTTTTTCATGAGCTTAACGCAATCTTCATACCGAAAAAAGATAAAAGTTAAAAATTGCAATTAGCCGTGGAGCGCACTTACTCAAATGAACGAACCAGGCCATTTTCCTTGACAGTTTTTTATGAAACGAAGGCTTTTTTACTCATGGCTTCTCGGTGTCCGGTCAAATATCTCGACTTATCTATCATATAATTTTGTTTCTGATCTCAACTTTTTCTGCAGTTCCTGCTACTCAAACGGCCGATTGAAATTCCGGACGTTGGAGTTTTGGCGGATCTGACTTGGGCAGACCCTGATCCGGTGAGAATTTTTATTTTTTTCGGAACCTCTCTGATGAAAATTTATTATGAATTATACTTCTGAAAAACATTTCAGACTGTAGAGGAATACGCAACATCGCCACGTGGCGCTTCATTCGTGTTCGGAAAGAAGGCCCTGAGAAAATTCCTCGAGCTCCACGGGCTCGAGCTCATAGTCCGGGCTCATCAGGTGAATAAGTTTGAGCTTCTTGAGATTAACTAGAAAAAACTTTTAGTGACAACTTAAAAAGCTCTTCAAGGTCTATTTGAAGAGGAAACTAAAGTGGCCACTAAAACCAGCCATATAGAAACCATTATTTTGCGTCTAAGGGCCCAAAACAGTAGTTTTTGGTGGTCTAGTAGTGATTCTTAGACTTCTAAAATAGCCACTAAAACGTCATAACCCTGAAGCGGCCACTAAAAATTTTCCTACAGAATCATTTAAAGACACTATAAAATTACTTCAAAGTCAATATTGAGAGTATAGAATGGCTTTTTTTTTCTCATTTTATAGATTACAGGTGGTCGAGGACGGCTACGAATTCTTCGACGATCGACGTCTCGTAACCATTTTCTCGGCGCCCAACTACTGCGGCAAGGCGAACAACACGGCGTGTATTTTAATCATCGATGAAAATTTGGTAAGGCCAGTGATAACAACACCATTGAAGATGGAGTTCTAGGCAATATCCCTGCAGCTCTTCCGGCCGGAAAGCCGGGAGCTCGACCGCAAGAAAAAGGCCGCCGCCGCAGTTGCTCCTAGTGCAGCTCCCCCTGCTCCAGCCGTTAAATCTTGATGATCACTTTTTCTTGTCTGGAAATTTCCTTTTTTGTGCTGAACGCCTGAAAATTATAATCTACTGAGAAGTCGGAGCGTTTTTAAAGGCGCAGGAGACTTTTCGTCGCGAGATCTTTATATTCTTGTTTCCTATCTTCGTTTGGAAATTTCGGATAAAAATTTTATCAGTCGATTTGATGTTTCTCGTCTTTTCTGACCCGTTTTTGAAGCCGAAATGAGATTTTCGGGCGTTGGTTCTGTCTGAAGTACGCAATTTTCTAGCGTAATACAAAGTTTTCTATCATGATCTGTTGGAATGAAATTTTTTTATTTATCTAATCTTTTTATCAAATTTACTGAATATAATAGTACCGCGTAATGTTTTTCAGGCTAACTGGAAAGCTTTTCGAGAATATATTTTAAGAGCCGAATCTTCATCCGAACGATATTCCGCCGCCGTTGGACCCGCCGCCGAGGAATTGGCCGAAAAGCTTGAATAAATCGTTGCCTTGGGGCACCTGGACGCCGGGAATTATTGGAACTGAAAAGTTTCCTTTTTAATTATTTTTTGATTTTAAGAAATTACTTGAAGGCGCTTGAGTTGTGGTGCTTGGCGGTGGGAGAGCCACACATTTGTCGCCCTGAAAATTTCATTTTAATAAAAAAAGAAAAAAAAACCGAAACCTTCATCTGGAAACCACAACGGCACATGCAGCGGCCTCTGTAGCAACCCGAATTTTGAGGACATTGTTTTTGGATGAAACAAAGCGAGCCGAGAGGAACCGCCTGAATTTTATTATTAATTTTTCAGATCAGTTATGAGATTTTTTTTTGAAGCTTTCTGGATAATTTAGAGCGAAGCTTTTGCGTTACAAAGAGCCTCCGGCAATGAGCCAAAAGGAGGAATACGCTACAAAAATAGATGTAGCGAAACATTTCAGATGTCAATTTAAAGAGCTTGTAAATCGTACAGAGGCAAGACGATAAACTACAGCCCATCTTTGATTAAAATGGAAATAACACAACGGAAAGAAAGAAAAATAATACTTCGAAGTCGTATAAAAAGGAAATTGACGGTAAATTCAAAATTCATAGATTAGTCAGAGGAAACTGAACGTTAAAAATAGCGAGACAAAAGGGTAAAATAAAAAAAAATTCTCTTAAACAAGTTTCTAAAAGAGCGAATTGTTTATATAAGAACTTGATGAGTTCAAAAATTTCCAACCACAAGGTTTTTTTTCCGATCAAACAGGGAAACTATTTTGAACTTTCAACGATTCTATTCAAACATATCACATTAGTTGTGAGAAAGTTATTTAAATGAAAGTTATCTGAAGGCAAACCTTCATGCAGCTCGTGTCCCTGCTCAGGTTCTCATTTTCGCAGTCGCGAGAGCAAGTCTGCGACGGATTTTTGAGCGGATGCGTCAGAGTATCTACGGCCGGATGGAAGTTCTTCTGACACTGGCATTGGTTCTGAAAAAAAGGCTCTAAAATGTTATGAAAAAGGTCTTTACGAACCTTGACGCACTCCATTCCTTCGTTCCCATCGCATTGTGCGTTGGTGGTACACGCTGAGTTGAGTTGTCCTCGAGGAATACACTGGAAAAGATAATATCAATGTTGAAAACAAATCGACAAGCTTTGAAGTTTGCAAAAGACTTTACAAAAACGATTCTGGAAATCTGGCGATACATTATTTTTGGAAAATATCGAAAAATTTGAGTGCTTTGGATGGCGAATTTCACGCACAGATTCAAACTTCTGATCATAATTGGGCATTTTTTTTATAAAAAACTTGGAGTTTGGAGCTTAGAGGTCGCCATTTCGTTGTAGGACCCAATCTTTATAACCGCTTGCGGATTTCTGTTTTTTTAGTCTGAAGTTCAAACGGTAAAGTTCTAGTTTTCGAAAAAAGGAAGCCTCAAAGTCCAAAGAAACCATCAAAAACCGTCAAAATAGTCTGTTTTGAGGAGGGGGGAGGGGTTTGAGCTCTTGTTTTTCGAAAACTAGGAAATTGTGGAGGTTGAAACTTCTAGGATCAACTTTGGGTAGATCGAAGAGTGTTCTGGCGGTTTTTCAAGAAATTTACAAGTAAATCCTTGTTAGAAAACACAAACTCACTTCATTGTTGGCGTATAGCGCATTGGGAGCCATGGCATTGCAGGGACGCCTACAGCAAACGGCCTGAGTGAAGAATCCGTCTGAAGAAATCTTCAGTTCTCAGAAGAAGATTATTTTTAACCTGATAACAAGTGACAGAAATGCGTATCCGAGGGACATCTGGCGAGAGTCGTCGCGTTGGGATCACAAGAATATTTGATATCGACGTGGCTTGCCAGAGGACACACTACCGGACAGCAATGGCCTTCAATTTTCCTTGAGATCTCCTAACTTTTTGATCAACTGACCAACTTGGCTGTCACCAGCTGTCACACAAAGCTGCCCGTTGGGGCAATTGTCTTGATCAGAAGGCAGATTGTAAGCCTTAATACGAAAATTCTAATAAATTTGACAGAAGGTGATATTAGCAAATTTATAACACTGGAAAATACTGAATTAATGTTTTTTCAAAGTTAAATATTAATAAATGACCTTTAAAAAACTCTGCTTAATGAAAGGAACTCAAATTCCTAGCACCGTCTTATGAAAATTCAATAAATCTTCACCAAAATCGTCGGCATGTGTAAAATAATAGCCCTCGTCGTTCAGAAACATCAGACTTGCTATTCATTGCTCACGTTAGATAAATTCTCTCAAAAAAAAAGGAAACGTTTTGGGTGGGTTCGTAGTGATATTTATTAAAGTTGCGAGGTCACTAACAGCTTTTACATCAAATTTTACCTCATTTACATCTCACGCTTGCTTATTATTGCTCACGTTATAGAATTCTTTTTTTTCTAGGAAAGAAAAGTCCCAATTTAGACCGTAGCGGTTTTTAAGAGAGTTTTGAGGTATCTGAAATCTTCCATATACTATCGAACTACTGTTCCGTTTGAACTTACTGACCAGAGAAGGGTCAGATCTTCGGACGCAACTTTGACCAGGAAGTCCGCCAAGAGGACAGTTGGCCGCGGCGACGCATCTTGAACCCTAAACTTCAGTGGTTAGTGAAAAAAAAAGGTTGGTTTTATCATATATAGGAACAATCTGCTCAATAGTTGCAAAATGTAATTAGTTTTTTTCTAAAATCAGCATTTTTTTAAAATAAGTCTAACTTCGAAACGTTTTTTGCTTCATTTCATTTCCTACATTGCTGCTCTTCTCAATGGAATTTTTAAACCTACGGGATCGGCCCAGAAATAAAGTTGCTCATTCTTAAATCAGAGTTTTTAATCAAATAGGCCTAATTTCGAAACGTTTTTTTGTGAAGTTATGATTTTTTTCAATGGCTATTTCTTCAACCTGCTGGATCGTTCCGGAAATGCAGACACACTGGGAATTGAGGCACGCCGAAAACGGGGATGTGCAGTCGTAGTGGCGTGAGCATCGGTCGCCGACGCGAGAAGCTGTAATCATTCGTTTTCCAGTTCAATCGAAACAGAGCTTCATCAAAAGTGATTAGAAAAACAGAATTATATTCATCAGCACCTTAACCAGCGCCTCTAAATGGAAATAAATCAAAAGAAAAAAGATCAAAAAAAAGAAAAAGAGATAAAAAGAAAAACTACTTTTTTTGCACTCGAATGATGTTATAGGTAGATTATCTAACAAACGATTGGAATACAAAGAAAAAGACATTGATAAAAATCTTTCCAAAAAAACTGACTAGTGACACATTCGCCATTGGAGATTCTCGTGGTTCCCCGTTGAACGCATTGACATTCGCCATTTCGACAGAAAAGCGGCTCACGACATTTTGAAGAACACGTAGCTCCGACCTTTGCTGGCACTAAAACAAAGGTTTCTTAAGCTGTGGCAAAAGACCCGCTGGACAAAAACGTCATAATTTTACAAGACAAAGGATCAGGCGGGTGCTCCAATGTTTCACCCGGAATTTATCGACGAAATGAAAAATAATCCGAGGAACTAAAACGGGTGAAACACTGTGAAACCGTCGATCGTTTTCAAAGCTCTTTCGATGCTCAAAATCGAAAAAAATAAGCTAAAATTTGGTAGAAGTCCAAAAAGGGAAAAAGCAACTTTCAGCTACAAAATTTCAAGATTTTTCAGTTATAATCTTTGGGATTTTTTTGAAAGGAGTAAAAAAATTTAAAAAGGGCTTTTTCTCCTTTTCAAAAAAAGATCATAAGTCTGAACTTCCACTCTATTTTTTTGAATACTAGAAAAATCGATAAAAAAATTCTTTTCCAAAGTTCATTAAAGAAAGAGAAAACGAACATGGTTTGCAACTGGCCTGTCGACCTTTTTCGTCTATCGCTTCGACATAGTGTGGATGGCATCTGAATGAGATAATTTATCGAGGCAAAAATGAATTTATTTCCAATTGAAGCTTTGAGGATAGTGAGAAAAAAATGAGATAATAAACAAATAACATTGAGAATACAAATTCTTATATTCTAAAAAAATTTAAAAAGTAATAAAAAGGACTTCGAAAAAAATTGAAGAATTGTTCAAAAAAATAGTCTAGGGTACTAAAAAATTCTTTTTTCTCAATTTTTCTTTACAATTAATTATTACCAGGCGTAACTAAAATGAAACTTTCTATGAAAAAGAAAAACGTACCTGCATTTGCCTCTCAGGCATATAGAACCTTTATTCTCACAGTCGTTGTTCACATCGCAGACGCCGCCCAACGAAGATTTACCTGAAAATGTCTCAAAACGAGTCTTAATAAACTGTTTTGAAACAAAACAAAAAACACGAGTTTGAATTTCAAGGAAACGAACCGTTACAAGGAGTGAAGAGTTGAGCATCAATGCGATGGAGCAGCAAAATCAATGTCAGAAGAAGGAGAACGACCCGCATAACTGTCAAAAGTAGACGTCGGCGAAGAAATCTCACGGCCTGACCCCGATTCTCCCCTCAGGGCGCACTCTCTCTTCGGATCAGCCGACGTCATCGATCGAGGAACGGGTCTGCGGCATGGCCAAAGCTGAACTTCTTTTAGATGACTCATTTGCCAACTTCGATCACCCCAACATGATCACGCAAGACACCAAAACAATTGATAAAAGCTGAAAAATTAGCTGAAAATTGAAAACTTAGTTAAAAAAAATATATGAAGTCATCGCTGGAACTGCTTTTCGCACAATCTTTTTTAAACTTTTTTTGGCTTTTATGTAATAATCTATGGTTAGCTCGCACGAAATCCAATAAACTGAAAACGAAAAAGAAAAAAAACGTGACTCACAAATAAAATGTATTTTTAATTGAAATTGAACACAAAACAGCACAGTCTACGCGCAAATGATTTACAAAACAGCACACTTTACGCGCAAAAGATTTACATTTGCGCGTAGACTGTGTTGTTTTGTGCAGTAGCTACGCAACGGACTAAACAAGGAACTTTACGATCATCTGTTTTTCGTTTTTTTTTCCCAGATATTTTATTTCAATTTGCCGAGCAATCATTTTACAGATATTCCAAATGATTGACTGGACGATTACCGATCACACACTTTGCCGGGCTTGCTTTGCCTACTGTACAAGAACTTGCGCTCTGGAAAGCAGACGAAAAGTCAAAATGAAGTAAGTGATGTTTTTTTAATCAAAGAAATAGAAAGGTTCATTCTAAAAAAATAAAAATAAATAAATAAAGTTAGAGTAAATTAGAGCCAAAATTGGATAAAATTCCTTAAACTTTTTGGTTCTATCAGATATTGACTGATTTATTGATCGTTGTTTTTTATCTACAAGAACTAATAAAGTTTCAAACCTTGGCACTAATCTACTCTACATCCGGATATACTCCTTTCTCGGAAATCATTTGACACTGATCTTGAAAATTCGATAATGTGGTAATATTGAAGTCGGTTTTGCTTCAAACGGTTCAAAAATAAGCCGGCCATGTGGCTCCCTTTTATGGCGACGACGAAAAATGACTGGAGAGAGGAATTTCATGGCAACCGACACGGAATTGGCCGTTTTGTTCTTCTCTTCCGTTTTTTGCATTCTCCGAATTCCTTCTCGTACAAATTCGTGTTCTTACTCGAAGTGACTACATCAGGTTTTTGTAAAGTCTGTTCCGAAAGCCTTGCTGACACTTTCAAAGGAGCATAGACAAGTTTTTTGAAGGTTTCAAAGCGAAGAGTCGTTCCGGTGACTTCTGCGCCTTTAAAATCATTTAATGAACAGAACTTGTATTGGAGTCGATTCAATATCTGTACATTTCAAAACTGGAAATGTGAAATTTCAAGCAGAAGTCCAATTAGTGGGAAGCAAAAATGAGCAAGAAAATATAATTGAAGCCAAAATATCGCTGCCGGATTACCCGTCATCCTCCAAATTTGGCTTGGTTCTCTTTTCGTAGCTATCCATTTTTCTTTTTCCTCTGACCAAAATCAAACCAAGTCAGATAGTTTTTCGAAATATCCATTTTTGAAGTAATTATCGTTCAAAAACTTTTTTCTATGGGTTTTGAAGGTATATAAGTCTTGGACCAACCTAAAATACTTCAAAATGGCTTTTCGCCTTAAGACCTGCAAATGATAACGCTTAATATTTTCGTAATTTTCTCAAAATCCTAGAAGGTCGATTACTTTCTGAAAGAAAATAAAAAAACAACAGTATTACATTGAAATGACGTTGGTTTGAGGCATTCCTGAGAGACGGATGAGCCTGAAATAAGCAGATTTTGGCCGTTTTTTCGATCCAAGCTCTATTTTCTGCCGGCTTCTTCCTCTTTTTCGCATTTTTTGTATGTTTTTCGGACAATTTTTTTTGGTTGAAAGATCGTTCAGTGAAAAATCCTTTTGAGTCGGAAAATCTTAACTATAGGCCTTTTTTTCATATATTCCTTTTTAGAAAATGAAAAATTATTGTTGCAACACAACTTTTTTTCCCGGTATAATACTTTTCTAAATCGGTCTAGAGCCATTTTTCTAGAATTATTTCGATTTTTTTGACCTTTTTGATGAATATATTTTGGAAAGAATATTGTAAAAAAATAATAATTGAAAAGACGCAAAAATAGAAATTAAATTTTGAGACTTCTTTTTATGCGTTTTAATGTTTTTCGTCTTCTCAGAATTTTTTTTGAACCAATACTCTTTTTATTATTTTTCTACTATTTTAGTAACACTGAAAGAAAAAAATCTCAAAAAAAAATCCAGTTTTATCAATTTCTTAGCCCTTATTTTTGTCTTTGTGGTTCCTTTTTCAGCTTTCTGTTCACAGTCACAAAGTTTCTATCTTCAATTTCGGAAAAAAAGCTCAAAAAATAACACAAAATAGGAAAAAGTTTCCCATGAAACTTTCCGCCTCCGCACAAGATATTTGATAATTTCAGACTTATCAGACATTCCCCCAATCTCGCATATTTCCAACTTCAAAAAGTCGTAGCGAAACCGGCCTGGCATCGCGATCCCGGAAAGCCTGTGAATAATTCGCGACTTTCGAGATTTCCAATGAATTATGAACGTGGTTTCTGTGGAATGCGCTTCAGAAAGTCTTTCGAGCCTCGAATTTGAATTTATTCCCTCCGATTTAATGGAAAACACGTTAATGAGTCCTTTCTGGATAGGGTAGCACTTTCTGGCTTCAAAAATAGAAGAAAAATAAAATGAAATCCAGAAGAGTTGAAATTTGATCGTTTCGAGCCGGATTCACTTATGAAAGTGTTTGCGGATCGTCTTTTCGAATATATTTCGCACGCCTTTTGCAGCTTTTTTCTCTTTTTTGTTGACTTTTTTGTTTTTTTGTTGATGATTTCAAAGAATAGGCTACCCTTTTGAGCTTCAGTAAATGTCATCGGTATCAAAAATTATAATTTAGAACCTTTGACATTGCAATAATTTTTCAAAATATTTATATTTTTGAATAGCTTTTCTGCTTAATAAAATATCGAAAGATTACTCGAATTTTCTTTCTTTTTTCATATATTTTTAACTCAAAACGGGAAAGTCTGCTTGGATTATCTTTTTCCCAGAGTTCAATGATATTTTTGTGATTTTTCGAAGCCAAGAATTGGACTTTCCCTTCTCCTAATTCTAGATTTGTACGCAGAAGAGTGCTGCCAGAGATAATTTCACCGTTTGGAGAAAATTCCATGTTATTTGGAGGCCTCACTTATCAGTTTCTTCTCTTTTCTCTTTTAACTTCATCTCAATTTCATCGATTATTTTTCAGTTTGAACATCCTCTTCCTTTAGAAATTTTTTTATTGATATTTTCTATTAATTTTGAAGTTAGATTTTGAAGATTATCATTGAAAACTCAGGAAGTTCTCATACAACCACTAGAGGGGCTACTTAAATTTTTCGACGTTCAGAAACTGTCTTCTAAACCCTAAAGTGGGTACTAGAAGTTCTATAGCTTCATCGAGTCAATTAGTCTTTTTAAGGTCACCAAAAGACCCCTATAGTGATCACTTATATTATCTTGAAGGCCGTTATCAGAAAAAAGACGATTAAAACTCTTGAGGAACCACTAAAAATAATTCTGAAAGTTGTGCTAATTTTCATCTTTTCAAATAGTTCCATGTTCCTTATACCTTGTTCAAAGAAATTTTCTCTGATTCTCACGAATTCAATTATATTTTATAGTCTCTGACGGCTTTTTTTGAACTCCGTGAAATCACTCTGATCACGGTATTACTTTCGATTAATTTATAAAGTTTTATGTTTTTAATCGGAACTTATCTTTTTAAACATTTGCGCTGGTCTTTTCCAAAAACGACAGAAGAAAAAAGAAATTGACGTCTTCCTCGGGAAGAAAGCCGAAAGAGCGTCTTCACGATAACAGAATTTGCGGCTAGGTGGTTACTCAATTCGAACGGAGAAAAATTACGTTTACGACGAAATCCGCTCAATGGTAAGCGAATTCTGGGTCGGCTGCTTCTTCTTTTATTTTTCTTTGAAAAATTTTCCTACGACGTTTCTTGTCTATCGTGTAAGGTTTATTGACTCAAATGATCGAAAACAGAGAAAAAGATAAGTTTAATCATAATTGAATGGAGGTTATGGTTGAGGCAATAGATTGAACCCTTATTTTGGTTTTCATCTTATTCAGGAGTTTCATGATAAGTTTATTGAGGTTTCTTCGTAGTTTTCATCTGCAAGTTTTTAGATAATTTAATAATGACTCTTTGCGAAAAATTGAAGGACTAGTGAATTTTCAAGAAAAGAGTTTTGGAACGATAATCAGAAGGGAGGGACCAAAATAGAATATTTTACCTTTTCCAAAATTTTTTAAATCATAAGTTTTGACGCAAAACTTGATTGAAAAATGCAACGGAACGTCCAATTTTGCTCGGGAGCCTAAACTGAAGTTGATTCGCTGCGCAGCGATTTTGTATAATTTTTCTACAGTTGGATCAAGTTTTAGAATCCTAGCATGAGCCGGAACGCGACCGCCGCGCGTTGAGCCATTCCAAATGCGTTCAAGATCAGAAGATCATCTCCAAAACTCAGATTTCTAAAGGAAACATGATAGGAAAAAAATCAGCAAGATCTCAAACTGGTTTTTATTCTCTCAGCCTTCGTCCTTCTCTAAGAAAGTCTTCGATGGAAATGACCCAATTCGAAAAGGCTCCAAAAATTTCCGCCAACAGGACTCCCATGAGCGAAAATGACTAATAAATCCTGCTGAGCGCCGGAATTCCCGAAAAAAGGAAAATCTGAAATTCCCGCCAATCTCCTATTTCGGCGAGCCTTTCGGAAAGCGGCAATTTGGAGAAGATCTGAATTGAATGCCAGGAAAAAACGGCCTGAAAACATACTTTAAGGTTTTCTTCTTTCGGAGCCGGCTTGGATTTCTAGACTTCTATTGTTTAATTTCAGTTTTTATAGGTACAGACTGTACAGTACAGTAATTGTCAGATGAGACCCAAAAAGTAGGTTCATGGATATTTTTGTATCAAAAAAATGCAGATAATTGTGGTTTGTCTGCCTTATTTCTAACTTTTTTTGAAAGCTGGAGAATATTTTTCGAGCCTAGCATTAAAAAGGAAAAAAAGAAT